ATTTCCTCACTGTTTAACAGTGTTAGGCATTTTCAGCCTCAGAATCACAGAGCCAGGATGCAAACCTAGCAGTATTAGACATTTCATGGGTTTGTTAGTTTTCTTGATAGTGTTTACCCTTTTTCACCTCCCTGAGGGCTTTATTCCCACTCAGTCCCACTGCTAATTTTGAGAATGACACTTGAGAACTGCAGAAGTGCTGCTCCCCAGGGCCATGCAGTCTAGCAGCCTGTTTGTAGCCCACTCCTGCAGAAAACTGAGAAGTGACATGCTGGTGGCTGAACTCCTGATATAACTTTTGCCACACCAAAGTCCTAAACCACTGGAAGCATGCAGGACACTCAAACCAGCACCCAGCTGAAACATTAAATAGTTCTGTTAGAATGCTGAGTGTAAACAGGAGCAGAGATGTGCTGCTCTTGCACACAGGAAGGTTAAACATTCAGTTAATGAAGTTTCACACTTCTGGAACTCTGGAATGCTCTGAGGATGTTTCTAAGTACAGACACCTGAAAAGGGAAAGTGGTTAAACAAGTTAATCATACTCTTATCAGATTAATTTAAAGCAGTTGCAGAGAGTTTTCAATTACCACAGGTGCTTCAAAGCATTGCTGGTATTAGCAGGTAAATGCAAGAAAATAACAGAAATACTTGTGATACTTAATAAAGTCCAGGAAAATATGAATCTCAGAAATGGTGATAAAGCCGGCTGGCATCAAGGATACTCTGTGTGGTATGTGACAATAACAGAGAAAATAACTGCTCATCCATCTCCTGTGACACTGCTCGAGCCAGCCACCCTCAGAGGGAACAGTTTCTATATGAGTTTTCTTTATTAAATGTCAGTGCCAGTTGATTTTTTCCAACTATGAGATGGCAAGTGTGCTTCCAGCTAGGCTAAGGGAAGGTGGACGTTTCAAAAGCTTCAACAGCTCAAAAGCACTCGGACTAATCACCTGAACCTTGGCACTGGCCAGCATAATAACCTGCCTGGTGATCACAGCAGCCCTCAGCACTGCCAAGGGTTCTTTGTTGTGCACGGGGAAGGAGCTCAGTGCTCACACAAGGAACAGCACTGGCCAGAATGAGGCTGCAAACTGACACTTGTTAAAGTCTGGCCAAGCTCAGAATTGCAAATTAATCCCTGAAAGTGACTGTGACACTGAGCAGATGCTTTGAATCTGGCCATATTGTTCAGCAGAGAAGGGAGCTCAAAACCTCTGTCAGGATTACACCAGCTGCTATCTTGAATCCCCAGCCATGATGCACACACACCAGGTAGGCATAGGAAATTATAATGTTCACTTATAGCTAAAAGTCAGATTTTTTTTAAATTTTGATTGTCATTTTAAAAAATCACCAGAATAACATCTGCTGCTGATTTATTCCATTTTACTTCTTGCTATAATAGGCAGACCATAAATAAGCATCAGCTAACCATGGTGGAAAATGAGCCTCAAAAGAAACTCCCTGATGATGTTCCAGGAATGTACCTGAAGCAGAGATCCCAGACAAGAAGCTCCTCAGATGTGGGCAAATTCAGCTGTAGGTATGCCTGCAGCTGGGAATGTACCATGAAGGTGCTCACCCTGCTAATACCACGTTCATTTATGCAATCCCAGCTGCTTGGGAAAAAGTGAAGGCATTTCTGGCATTCTTTTTTGTGGGCCAGCTCATGGAGATACTATGCCACGGGACAAGGATTAATAGAATAGTTTAGGGTGGAAGTGATCTTTAAAGGTCATCCAGCCCAAGGTCATCCAGTCCGTCTATTAAGCCTTAATACCATGCAGACCAAGAATGTTTGTTCCCAACCTGACAAGGCATTTTTCCTTGGCAGTCAGATAAAGAGCTTAAGGAAGCTCCTTGAACAGAGTTTATCCCTGGAATTCACAGACTTGTGTAGATGCTTCACACAGTTTTGCTGTGCTGGCAGTGATTTCTCACCTCTCTGCCTGTGTTGGGTGTGCTGCCACCGAGAGGAGCTGTGACAGAGCCATTCCTGTGCCTCTGGCTGTTTATCCAGGACCAGGAGCTGCACAGGAGTAGCACACAAAAACACATTCCTGTGGCCTGGCATGTGAGGCCAGGTTATGCAATGTGAGAGCATAATTAATGCAAGCAACAGACCAGCCAGGGATGCTTCCCTCTCCTGTTCCCCCGAGAATGGGAGCTGCAGTTTTCCTTTCAGCCAGGGGATTGGTATTGGAGATAGCACTGAACAGTTCCTGCTTTTTCCTTGTTCAGTGAGATCAGCTGCCCCATAGTGGGCACAGCTGCCCCCAAGCCTCCAGCCCACTCACCTGGAGCTGCAGGAGAAGGGGACCTGAGGTTCAGGTCCTGCAGGGGCTGACACCAGCACCACCACTCAGCTGCAGGCAGACCCAAAGTACATTTTCTCCCAAGTTAGTTTGGCAAGTAGCTGGGAAATGTCCCATTTTGTCAGCTCCCACTGCTGGCACCAATCCCAGCAGCCTTCTGAACTCATCTCATGCAGACACAGGCTGCAGGATTATTGTCACCTCTCACCTCACCACAGAGCAAGGAGTGGAGGCTCCTCTCAAACAGACCAAGTGACAACACCAAACTCCTCTTACTGGGCAGATCCATTGGGCAGAACCCAAGCAGAGCTCAGGCTGATCACACCAGCTACACCCTCCTATGGAGGTGAGGAAATTAAAGCCAGGAAGGGTCTCTAGGGATTTGGCAGCTTCCCATTCCACCATCCCCTGTACTTAAATGGAAGCACCAGCTCTTACCTCCTGAGCCACCAAAGGCTCTCACCTCAGAACATTTTCTTTGAAATTGTTATTCTTTCAGCATTTTTGTGCAGCACTGGTTTGCTTTGATGTGTCTCTCCTCACAAAGGTGCAGGAAGCAGATGTCTTCAGCCAGGCAGTGCTTCCCTGAGGTCCTGCAGGAGCAAGGACCCCTGAGCCAAGGCTCCCAGCAAAGCAGGACACGCGTTGAGACCGAATAGCTGGAGTCTGTTCTCTGCAAACTGTCCCCAGGTTTTTTTGCTACAAAGATTTACCACCTAGATTTCAGCTAAATGCAATCTCCACTGCCAATAAAATAAAATAACAAATCCTGACAAGCATGAACACAAATACAGAGGAGTGTGAGGCAGCAAAGTGGGTGCTCCAGCTCTTGCACGCTGAGGGGAAGTGTTTTGAGAGAAGCACAAAGTCCCAGCAAAACGTTTCCATCTGTGGACTCTCTACCAGCTGGAGTTTGACTAAACCCAGTCTAAGCATGTGAGAGTTGAAGTATCCAGTATTTAAGCTCCCCCAAAGGAGCTTTCCAATACAGCTGCATGGTGTATTTTTTATTCCAAGTTCCAATTTTCAGATATTTTTTTTCCATTATGTGACTGCAACACAGCCCACATCTAACTCTAGCTGCTCACCATTTTACAGATGTCTCTTCAGCTTTTTAGATGTCAAAGCTGAACAACAATTAAGAGAATGAAACAGGAAGGAAAACATTTCCAAAAATAACCAGAACAAGAGCTTGAATGAGCAGTGTCCTCCACTAATTCATTTTGATGGTAGGAAACATTTGGAAATTGTTGTATGTTGAATAGCAACACAGAACCAACAACATTTTCACCCAATTTAGTTCAAGGGGAAGTATGCCAAGGACCATAAAAAGGGGCAAGTGGTGAAGGATATTCACATGCTTTTCCTCACTGAAACAGCCATAAAGGCTCTTGCAGCAGCACTGCACAGTGGAAAAACCACCCTCTGCAACCACAATGCACAGAACTCCCCAGTGAAGAGACTGGCCAAGTGGATATCCAAACCCACTGCACAAACCTCTGCCAGCCTGCAGGAATCTGTTTGGCATCTTCATTTATACTCTTGCTTAGCAGGGGTGTGTCATTAATTGGGAGAGGGGCAATACAAGGCATCTCAAGCTGATAGTTACTGACTCCTGTACTCTTCTGATTCTACAGTACTCAGTTATGTGTGGCCACATTAAAAACAAAAAACAAAATCTCAACAAACTTAGAAGAAGGTAATGCTGGAAAAAACCCCAAAAAAACCCCAAAAAACAAAACTAGTTGTTGCTTCTCTCCAGTGTAGTTGTGTTGGTTTTTTTTAAATACATAGCAACTGTGTTACAAATGGACATTTTTTTAACAGATAAAGAGCTGTCTTTTAAATTTTACTATTATTTTTTCCAGTGCATCCTGCTCCTGCATTAATTGCTCTATTACTCTTGGATGCCTCCACCAAAACCTCCTCATATTCCCAGCAGCTGACAACAGAGAGCCCTTCCCTCACTCTTGGCTGGGCTAACAAAACCCGAGGTGGGCAGAAAAGGCTTGTCAGCAGGATGGGTGCCACTGAAACACCCTGACAGCTCCCCTGGAGAAGTTTCACTCTGGACATTTGTATTTGTTCAGAGCTGCCAAGGTGATTTCATGTGGCAGCTCTTGAGTGCACTGACTGCACACCCCAATCCCATGTGGGCCAAATCTTCACGCCTGAGCCCTTGTTCCTCATGCAAATATTTCATAAGCTCCCCAGGGCTCTGCATGTTAAATTGGATCCTGCAGGAGAACACTCTGGAAAGCTGCTGTTTTACCACAGTGTAGCTCCATCTTTCAACTCCACAGTGCATTGTGCCAGTAGGTGTTGCAGGCCTGAGAGCCACTGCAATTCCAGTCTCACTTTGCCTTTCTCCCAAATTTACAGTGTGCTGTAACTGAGTGTGCTGTACATTTATAGGAAAGCAGTAATTCCTAACTACTGCTGTGACAAAACTGCCTCCTGAAAGGAGACTTGATGTAACCCATTATCCAACCCAGGTTTAAAACAAAACAAAGCAAACAGTTCATTACTCACCTGATGTTCTGCTGGCTATGGTGTGGGACTTACCTGTGCAGAGGTGGGGCAGCAACAGAAACACCCAGCTGCAGAGTGGGAAGAAGCCACAGAAATGCAGTTTGGGATAAAAGGCATTCCCATTTAAGCACAAAGCAATCATAAATCCAAATCACACAAGAAAAAAGTTTATTGAAAAATAAATTCTTCCTAGCTTTTTTTTTTCTACAACAGTGAAAACAAAGCATTTTTCTATGCCATTACAGACATTTATTGTTCTAAAAAAAAAAAAAAAATTAAAAAAAATCCCATCCTAATGAACCCCAGGAACTTGGCAGTTTCTGAACCAGTATCTGTTTGAATCCAACTGCTTGAACGTAATATAGTGGAACACAACCATTGAAATAAAACAAAGGATTAACCTATCAGGGGAGAATTCAAACCAAACACCCCGTAGTACCAGCCTGATCCTGAAGTTCTTGTGTCCATTTAAAACCCCTCATTGACTCCACATTATTGTTTGCAAAAAGCATTAATTTACTTTTAGTGAATTCAGTTGGGTTTTTTCCCCAATTTACATTGCTACTGGGCTTATTCAGACTCTGATCCTCTTCACCCATGAAGAGGGAGATTCCTCCAGAGAATGATGCAGACTAGAACCCAAAGAACTGCCTCAAACAGCACTCTGGAGAATCTCCCTGCAGTGGTCAGCTCAGCAAGCTCACGGGGATCAAAGTCACCAAGCCCAAATTAGCTTTGTAAATATTCCCTGATATTTTTCTTTTGGCTCTCTTAGAATCTTCAGGGTAGCTTTCTCACAAAATTTCCTTTCTTTTTTCCTTTAGTAAAAACTGCCATTTCCTCCTCCTCTCCTGCATTCCTTACAAAAACCAAATCAAACCCACGACGCCTTAAAAAATACTTTTCACTGTCACTGTATTGCAACAGACCTGATAATGAACAGAAATTAGTTCTGGGTATTACACCATTAAAATGAACTGCCTTCAGACAGCAATTGAACTTGATTTATCGTGTGCCTATTTGATATTTCAAACTACTTTGCAGCTGCTGGAGCCTGAGCCAGGTGGTGTTGCATGCACTCGGTGCCCGGATGGCTCCAGGAATGCCAGGCGTTATTTACATGCTCTCCTTAAAGCCAAGATTTGGTGGCTCCTGCAGGACCCAGGGCTGGCATTTGCAGTGACAATACAGATGGGTTTTCGTGCACCAAAAGCAGCCACATGCTTTGGTGGCTCTGGGGACAGCAGGGTCCTCAATGCTTCAGTTCTGTGAGCCCTTACAGGAGGTGACAAATTCTGGTCCCATGCACAACTCACTTAAGTGAATTGCACCTGCACTGAACTGCCCAGCAGAGAGAAGGGTTTCAATCACTTGAGCACAACTAATTTTTTAAAGCAGTTTCTGTGTGTTGAGGGTGAAGTTATTACTAATTTTATAAAAACTTTAGGACCTGGTTTTATTTGCTCATTTAATAAGCAGGTGGCTTAGTGCTCTTGAGAGAGGTCTCCTGAATTAAAACACACTTTTGTGTGTTCTAATTACATGAATATGCAAAGGATGACACTGTTAAAAATGAACAGGTCCCAGTTTGCAAGGCACATCAGCAATGGTTGTACTTTGTTACTTTTCCTGGAAGAAGGAATAAAAAATGATGCCTCACAGCTGAGGCATTCTGGGGTCTAGCCTCTGGTATTTTCAACACATTCCTACAGTAAACATTTTACACTGGATACATGGAGTTGCTGTTTACACATTCCATTTAAATATAATTACATTTGGAAGTTACAAACTAATTTAAAAAAACCCCTACATAACCACTTGAAAATGTGTGGATGAGATTTAAGTCACTGCCCATAAAACAGTGTGTTTTGAAGTTATATTTACAGCAATATTATTAAAGCAGATCTCAATAAAATCCTCTATATTCCTGGCCATTTCAGCTCCAATGAAAACACATCTGTCAGTGCATTATTCTCCTTGAGTTTACAGCAATCCCTACAACAATGGGGCCAAAGGAGATGGAAAGAGATCACAAGTGAGAAGTTGAAGGCATAGCAGCTGCAGGACAAACATCACAAGGAAACAGCCATGCCAAAGGTTAGCACCCCTGAAAAAAAGACTGGGAAATCAGAAACTGGTAACTCTTGGTCTCTCTAAAAATGAACAATGAAAAATGCCATTCCTCAAACTCCCAACTGTTGACTGAACAGCAATTTAACCACGTTTTCAACTGATACCTTAATAATTAATCAATAACATCAACTTAGAGCTGATCTTGTGAGCAAGAAAAACTGGTTGCTGATATGTGAATAACATGCCCTGGAAGTGTTTGGTCTTTATCATTTAAGGTACAGTGCTTTACACTTATTAAAAAGGGAGGGCTGATTCTTTAATTTTAAGAAACATTAATGGAGGAGTTGTGCTATCACTGAAGGCAGGGGGAGTCATGAAGTTAATGAGGCTTGGATGAGATTATATCCAGCCCGACTCATCCCAGTTTATTTATTTTACTAGCAAAATCTGGTCCTGAAATGAACTCTGAGCAAAAGACATACCTGAGAAAGCAATTTGGGTTTTGTTTATATGAACAGTGCTGCAAACTCAGAAATCACTTTGCAATTCAGATGGGCCATGCACTCTGAGAGGGGAGGGAATGTCTTTTATATTAAGAACAAATGAAGGAGGCTGCCTAGGATTTTAAAGGGCAGTGACACAACATGACAGCCTGATTTGGAGCTGATGATATCAAGAGAAATTTTCAGTGAGTCCAATTCTTGATAACCAGCAAGGTGCAAAAGCTGACACAAAGCAGCTGGGAGCAGAGTGAAGCTGGAAGGTGCAGAGTCCTGGCTCTGGCTACAACCCCATCCCAACTGAAATCTGATCAGCAGCTGCCTTTGCAAAACACCATTGCAGAAAAGTAGTAGCATAAAAAAGGAAATCCATCTGCAATAAGCTGACCAGTCCCTGCACACTGAGAGCTGCCAGTCCAGCTGTGCTGAAAGGCCTGTGTGCTCTGGAAGCACCAGGAACTGCCCTGTGTGCATCCATGCAGAGACATCTTTATCTGAAAAACCCACACCTCCCAAACCTCAATGTGGATCTTCAATTTTCCTGCCCATCAAATCAGCTCTGGCTGTTCCTGGAGGTTTTCTGTTATCATTGTCTCCCTGGGGAATGTTCATGGCTTTCCTTTGCTCCCTGGTCAGTGAACAGACATCCTGTCCCAGCAGGAGCTCTCATGCCAAATCACAGATTCTCAGTACATTGCATTCTGCTTGCAGAAGCAATGTTTTGCAGGAATTATTAAAAGTTATAGTATCTTTTATCTTATTAAGTCTTATCTGGTTTTAGAACAGATTTCTCCACTACTTAAAAACATTCAAAATTCACAACACTAAGTTGTAGAGTCATCAGCACAATTTACCTGGAATTAGTGTTCCATTATACTTGTTCAGACAGTATCCATAATCCAAACATACATCCAAACCCCAAAGAAAGTAAAAAAAGGCACATAAACATTAAATACTTGTAGAAACATAATCTGATATGAACAAGCAAACACACTGCTGCAACTATAAATTACAAAAAGAAACATAGAAACTAAGCAAAAAATGCAAAAAGCAACTCTATTTATACATGTGCAAATCAACTTGCATATATGAAATAAATGAGGTTTTTATTGGCATTTTTAAACAGTGTGTATTTACCAACTTTACCTTTCAAAGGCAAGCCTTTTATGTTAATTTTAATAAATATGTAAATGCTTCTCTCAAGTTTTCTAATCCTGTAGGAACAAGATTTTTGAAAAAAACTAGGTCACATACAAAAATACAAAATTTTAAAACAAAGAATGTCTTGATATGAGAGATATGTTTAAAAGCTTGTAAAATGGTTTTGTATTCAACTTTTGACATTTTTTTTCCCATCAATCGCAGATCAATATATTCAAATGCAGTCATGCAAAAACCTGACTTCTGAGCAAAGGAAGCTGCAAGTTCTACTGTCAGACTGAAAAGAGCAGCACAGTCCCCTCTCTGATGTCCTTGCTTGAGTGCAAGAACTGGACTACACACCTCTATTCTTCAATTAGGAAAGAAGATAGTTACGGAACTCAGACAGAAAGTTGCCCCCTAGCCTGAAATGTGGATATCTAAAACAGGTTTCAGTCAATAACTCCAACTTTTCCCTAGTCCCACATGGAATTGCCTGAGTGTTTATCTGCAGGAGGATTCACTAATTGCTCACGGGGAGCGTGTGTGGAGCTCAGTGAGCAATGCCTGCAGAGTCTGTGCACTTACAGTTGTCATGACAGTCTCCTTTTACAGGAATATAGACTGAAGATGTAGGTATTGATTTGTTATTCTTCAAGATTAGTGAGTCTTCTCCATAGGTTTCAGTGGAAATAGGATCAGAGACCACTGACTGAAGCAAATTTGGATGTTCTCTCCCTGGCTGAAGTGCAAGCGGCATCGGTGCTGCTGTTGCATTTTTGCCAGAATGTATAATTCAGTTCAGCAGACTACAAAGAGTGCTACAGCATGAAAAAACAGAGCTTATAATAAACTCTCCCTGCTGTGGTAAAGGCAAACTTAGCATTGAGCAAAGCACTAGACCAGAAAATGTTATAATAACAAATACCAAACCCTTCCCATCTTTAAAGGTTTAGAGGCAAAATCAAATGCAGTATGTATTGCCATGTGGGCCTTACAGCAGGGGGAACCAAGCAAACATGTATTTACAGCAGAGAATTACACTACAGCAAAACCCACGTTTTGCATCCTTTAAGTGCACGAGCACAAATCTTTGTTTCCAACATAATTCTGTGATATCCCAGTCTGAAATCAATTCCTGCCTGAGGAACATCAGGCTGAACTACTGAAGACAAGTCCTGCTGTTGCCTTTACTTTCAGCACCAGGTGGAAAGTCATACATTGTGATAGGCAGGATTTTCTAGTTGCACAAATATGCACAGGTATGCAGGGGATATTTTATATAAATACAGAGAGAATTGTTGTGCCTGCTCAGACCCATTTCCAATTGTCCTCCCCCAGCTTTTCCAGGGCAGTGAAACTATGGCAAACTACATTTGTGCTGACTGAAGCAAGTGCTGAGCTATGGCAGCAGGAGGGATTTTCATACAGGTTTGTGTTTGTTTTCTTTTCATAGAAAAAAATTGCCTCCCATTAGAGAACCCAGCTGTTCTGTTTCTGGAAAATTAATCTAAAATACAGCAGATTTTTACATCCTCAAACCCAGATCCTGCTGACCCTGCTGCTCAACAGCTCCCACAGACCCTTTTTGGATACTCAACAACCTCCTGTGTTGTGCAGAGCAATGTTATGGAGTGTACAGGGTAACACTGTCAGGAGTGTTGAGGCAGGAAACCAAATGCTTGAAAAGGCTCATTCACTGCTTTTAAACTGGAATTTAAAATGTAGACAGTTCTGGAGGATTTATCCACAGTGCAATAGCATCTCCCTTGCCTGGTCTTTGGTAGGTCACCACATCCATCAATATTCCCACACAGATAATGAACACTGCTTACCAGAAAAATCCGAACCAAGATATGTCTCAGAAAGACCTACAGATGCTGACTGCAGATTTGTTTCTTACTAATCTTAACATGTAACTTCCTGACAAATTATGCTGTCAAGCATGTCCCCTTCTGCTGAAAATAACAAAAATTACCTCTGTAAAAAGAAGGTAGTTTAGAGGAGTTAACTTGCTTCTCTCTCAAAAAAAACCACCACCAAAAAAACTCCAAACCCAACTTCGATTTAAATTCTGAACTCTTGAATTGTTTTCTTCTAAATTTGTAATTGGTATGCCTGATCAAAAGGGAAGAAGAAACAAGGAACATGCAGAGCCCTAAAACCAGAAAAACAATCAAAGAACCCAAGAGGACTGATTAATTCTTTTCTTTTCAGTTCTTTGTCTCCTCTTACTTGAACTCCAGAAAAAAATTTCTCGTTAAAAACCTAACTAGTTGTGAAGACATTTTACATTTCTACCATACAATAATTATAGTTAGCTTAGTTTAACCTTTCTATGTCATTCAGCAACACTTAACTACTGGAAGCCATAGCAAACTGAGGCTCTAACAATAATATTGCTCCAATGATGCTGAATACTTTTTGCTTCACACAGTATTTCTAGTAGACAGACTACAACAGAAGCGTGGGCAAATTCCAAGGATTACTCTCTAAATGGGACCAGTAAACTGTGATGAGTCCATTCCAAAAATGGTTGTGTGTTTTTGTAGCTTTTCCACACTGAAGAATGCCACAACCCCAGTGAGCTGTGCAGTCACCAAGATGTGTCACATGCTGGCAACTGCCTATTTGCTCATTTGTGACACTCTGCTTAGGCTGCTCTGGTGCAGCAGCTGTGATGCAGACAATACCTTGTTGTATACAAATATTTAATTTTTAAAAAAGGAAAAAAACCGAAACAACAAATCTGGGCCCAAATAACCCAACAGCAGGGTACAGAGCTCTCTCATTATTCCAAGTTCTTGTGAAGTAAACCACTTTATAGCCATTCAAGCCAAAGCTGTACCCAAACCAGTGAATAAAATGTTAGTCCTCCTTCCCCAGCATCCGCTCCCTCAAGCACACTTTTTTCAGTTTTCTATTGGAATGAAGTTGAGATCCTTTAGCTAACCATGATGGGGGATGTCATAACTCATTTAAAAAAATAGAAAACACTTCACCCAAACAGCAAAACCAGAAGTTTGATGGGTCTGGAAATTTTCTACAAACTATTCTGTGCAGTCATCTTCAAATTACTGTCGAACACGAGACTCATTTCTCTTTGCAAACCGCTGAAGGAATCTGAAGAGTGATGCTGCAAATGTCCTTACAGGAAGAAAAGATCAGTTATAGCTGTTTATTATGAATCCCTCCTCTCTTAGTAGATAATTCTGCCCAGCAATGATAGCTCTGCCTGCAGCGGCAAACCTGGACCAAAGTGCAGGAAGTACTTAGGAACTCCTCTCCAAAGGACTCTGGTTGTCCCCAGCTGGGAGCAGCCCTGCTGCTGCTATAGGCAGTCCTTGCAGAGTGCAACCTGCCCCTTGATATAGTCCCTGCAGGGGCAGATCCTTCTGTGGGCAGGGTGGGAGCCAGCACAGCTGAACAGTAGCAGGTCACCTTGGAAAACACAGTGCTTCCTCCTTCCATCAAAAGAGGGGACCAGGATATCATTTGCAGACTCCATGGTGAGACATTCGATATTATGCCTAAAAAGCAAAGCATGTGATCTGTATCACACCTGGTTCATGAGAGTTTGGTACAGTTTTCAACCTTCCTCACTAAAAATAACAAACCCTGCTCTACTAGATGCTAAACCGAGTGCATTTACAAATGCAGCTTTCCAGAACATGACTTCTCTGCTGTACAGATTCTCTCTGCAGAGGGCAGTACAGCCCTTACAGCTTTCCTGTTTCCTAAAGATTAATAAAAGAAGTGAAAGAGAAAAAAAATGCTTTTGACTATTCCCCAAAAGCTAATATTTAAATACACCATGGTTTTTCAGTAGGACAGACTCAAAGGATCTGAAATCAGGAGATACTCTCTTTGATTTCAGGAAGTCTGTTCCCCAGGGAAGCCCCACAGAGGCAGGCAGCCCTGGGCAGCTGGAGGTGGGTGAGCTGGACTGGGAGGATGAGGGATGCTGCTCCTGGGCTACAGGGAACAGGGCCTGCAGCTCCCAGGAACCAGCCAGCAGGAAAATGAAAAATGCCAGTTGCCATTTCCTGACCACAAGGCTTAAGCACCAGGGTAGCAATTCCAGCAAAACCTTGTTTTTCACTTATTCTGGAAACATTGGTAACTTCCAGCATTTAACAGACAGGGTTTTTTTTCCACAGGATTATGATTTTGTCTAGACAGCTAGAAAAGAAAGTTTTTATATGAGCTGCTTCTGAACTCCACTGCAAATTACAACTTTTCAAAGAAAATACAACCCCCAAAATCGTCTACAATGTTATTTAGCAAAAAGTGGGGATGGAAAACCTGGAAAGCAGATTCCCCAGCAGCCATTTGTGGGAGCCTGGTTTGAGGACTTTGTTTTCACTCTAAGAGGAACACAGACTCATTTCCAAAGAGCACCTAAAAGCAGCATTCCTTTCCTTAATGCATAGCTGGTGAGTTTTACACATCTGCACCAACACCTCCAGTGTAGCAGGGCTCACAATTCTCTTCCCAGGACAACAGAGACAGAAGGGTTGTGTCCCCTGTGCTCCTGGCAGGTGCTCTCAGCAGTCCCCACCACTACCACACACCCCACAAAGCACTGCCAGGCCCTCACTCACAGCTTGCTGCAGCCAGAGCTGCTCTCCCCACCTTCCCTTCTCACTCAACTTGTGCTTTAAATTCCAAGTGTGTTAAAAACCAGTGCAATAAAGAGACCAAACAACATATTTGTGCTAGAAATACTTACCTAAGCAGAGCTTTGTCCTTGTTAAGATGCTGGAAGAAGGAAGGCTCACAGATGAGCTGGCTTTCCTGACAAACTTGCTTACAGGATTTTCCAGGTTCAGCAATTTTGACTTGAAGGGCACTTAATGGGGGCCACATCACCTGCCCGTGACAGAAATCCTGCAGTGACAGATCATGTTTTGTTATGACAGGTTCAGACAACATTTCACAATACTCAGGCTGTATTTTAACATTTGGCAACTCTCACCAAAAGGTGATCAAATAATTTGGGCCTGGACCATCATGTTTTGCTTCCTCTGGTTAAACCAAAACTTGTGTGAACTCATCTCCTCACTGTGACCCAAGGCCCTCAAAGTCATTTACTAGTTCTCAATATCAGCTTAAGCTCTTTTCATTGTTTTGATTTCTTCTCCTGAAGGAGCAAGTTTTCATACTTCCAGGTCTAAGCACAAAAGTAATATTATACAGTCATGAATCACAAAGTATCCTGAGTTGGAAGGGACCCACACATTTCAAGGTGAGACCAAAGGAGGTGTCCTCCTTCATCTGTCTTTTCTTGCTCTTGGGTGAATGTTCTCACTCCCTTTGCCAAACTCTGGGGCTCAGCTGACCCTCTGCTGAGCCAAGTCAGTTTTCTGACCTCACAGAGTCCTGCCCCAAACATCTTCTGCTGGGTTATCAACTTCTCTGCTTGGCCACATCTTTCAAAGTCAGTGTGTCTGTTCAATCAGCCCAGCCTGCCTCCTCCAACAGCTCCCAGATTTGCAGCAGGGAATCCCTGCTGCTCTGGCTGTGGTTGCCTGGCTGCTCCTTTGACACCAGTGCCAAAACTGAAGCAATCCCTCCTCCCTCTGGTTCCCAGCCTCTGCTGCTGCCTTGCAGAGCAGACACAACTGTGTGTGCAGCCACAGAGCAAACGGGAGGAGGGGTGGGCTCAGCAGGGGTGGGCTCAGCAGGGGTGGGCTCAGCAGCCACACTGGGCTGCTGGCAGGGGCAGGGCACTGCCAGGATGGAGCAGCTTGGAGACAAGGCTGGTTTAAGGCAGCTGAAGGTGGCACTGCAGGCTGTGCAGCCACAGCCCACAGTTCTCTTACCTCAGACCATACAGGCCTTCAGCTGAAGGTATGGAGAGTTCACCAAACCTTTCTTGTGAACATTGTCCTCCCTCCTGACCCTCTGCCAAGGCCCCAGAAGGGGAACTCTGGACACCTTTAAATGCTACAGCTCCACTGTCCACAGAGTGACCAGTGGGACAGGGTATCTGACCCCATCTCTTCACACTCAAACATCCCCTGAAGACCCCACTGTCATGGTCAAGGCACACAGCCACTGAACCAGACCAATTCTTTATTCCAGCATCTTTGCTCCCATTTCAAGCTTGCACTGCTTTCTCTGTTCTTCCTGCCTCCACCACAAACTAGTCAAAATAAGGTCTCAATCTTTATTTTTTCTTTTTATTTTTGGTTCATCTGACATGTTAATTAGGCAAAGTGTTAAGTACATGCAGCTAAAAAATGTCCTTGAGTATCCTGGGAGCTGTGAAAAACCACCGGCTTTCAACCATTAGTCAAAGCAATGAACAAAATTACAATATTCTGTGGATTTCTGAGAAGCACAAGGGAGGGCTTAGCCCTTGGGGGTGGGCCAGAGGGAAGAGACAGGTTTCAGCCACAGGTGCCATCTCTTGATTGTCTCTTTTTCTCCCTTACATTGAGCTCCATTTCTTTCTGATTGACAAATGCTCCCAATTATAACTAACTTGGGTAGAATAATCAAAAGCAGTAGTGACACTTTTACAGGTTTTGCCATCAATACAGCAGCAAAAAGCTTAAAGTGTTCATTGGCAGGGAAGTGGGAATAGCTACGCTGTGTTTACTGCCCTCCTGACCTGGAGCTGTGTTATCCTTTAGGACTGTCTTTAACAGCACCCACCTTCAAAAACACAAGTACAGACAGATGTCCAGTGCCCTTGAAAGAAATCCTGGCAATTAAATGACATTTCAGAGATAAAGGTTATTCCTATCTCTGTTCTGCAGCTGCCAGAACAAAAGGCAGAGCTGGCTACTGCAACAGATCTGGCTGGCTTGGGCAGAAGTCCAAGCAAACACACAATTTCTAGAAACCAGGATCCCATGTAAATCTCTGCAGTTTATTACTCAACTGAACATCTTCTGCTGCTCTCAGCTGGCAGTAATGCCCAGGGACCAAAAGTCCTTTAAGTAACTGAGTTCCAAACCATTTAAATCTTTATTGATTGAAACTAAATACTTGAAAAATCTGCCCAGAGGCTGCAATTCTGCCCAGAGACTGCAATTCTATCAAAAAGTACCACTGTATTTAAGTGATCCTTCTTGATCCAAAGCTTTTATGTGTGTACACAGCTAAGGAAGTCACACAGGTGCTGAAAAATTGCTTTGCCTTTCTGCTTTCATATAATGCCAAGGTCTGCACAGCTACTATTCCTACTTGGACAGGAACAGTAGCACTGAGCTTTAAAATGGAGATGGTCCCCCTTTCCAACATAATCCAAGAGTCATCCACAACAGAAGTTCATACCTGTCTTTCAATAAAGGCGTTCATCCTCTGAAGCATTCCCTCACAGGTAAATTCATAGGGCAAATAAGGGTCAATCTGTGGAGACAGTGTTAAGGTTAGGGGGGGTTTTAGTTTCAATCAACTTCGTTGTGTACTCTGTGACAGCAGCTTCTGGTCCAAATACTCCATTACAGCTTGAGTAACAACAAAAAGTTACTAATAAACTCATTAGCAAATAATAATTTTACAAAAATAATTTTATAAAATTATACAAAATAATTTTACAAAACCATCAGCAGGTTTAGCTGATTTTTCTTCTTTTTAAAGGCAATAAGAATTGCTCCATGACTATCTCTATGGAAGCTCAGGGTACACTGCAAAGTGGCAGATGTAAGGCTAGTCTGAGACCCTCTGGGATTCCAGAGCTCCTGTTTTAACTAAGTTTCAGTTCTGAAGTTGAAGTGACAAAACAGAATGTGATATCTTTGAAAATTCCTTCATACTCTTCCCCACCTTGAAGTGCCCTCATTGCCATTCTACACTGTGAGTGCACAAGCACTTCTGTGGGAATCTGAAGGCTACAAAGTCAGACTTGAGCAGAGCAGAGTCTGCAATGCTCCAAGAATCAACAATGAAACCTCCTCACTGAATGCACAGAGAACACATCTTGCTGTGTAATTCATATGTGAAATTCTCATTTCTATACAAATTCACCCATTTTTTCAAGAACCTGACATATTCAATATTAAATCATGAGAATCTCTATACCACAGATAGTAATAACCATTTTTTCCAGTATCCTATCAAAATGCTGCACTCATTAGACTAACATTGGGAAGCACTGTATGTGCAGTACACACTACACTCTCAAGTGCTGATAGCAAATTGAAGAGACATTTCTCACCTTTTGATTCAAAATTGATTTCACGGCCTTCTCAACCTCAGAAAGATCATTGATGTCCACAGTCCACACATGGGGCTTCCCAATATAAACTTCAGCATAGGGATGCTGAGATGTCAACTGAAAGAAGAAATTATATTGGTAAAAATTAATGTGTAAAAATACCCTTGCCTCTCACTCTCTTAATCACACTTTTTGGATGCAATGCACTAGGATAGTGCAAAAATTCAGTTAGAACACAACAGTCAGCATCATTCCTTCTGAGTTACTTTTCAGATTTTCTCTTTAAATTTAGAGTGTGAATTTAGTTGGAAAACTGCAAATCAGGTAACACAGATCACAAGTAAGACATGTGCACCCCTGATTTGTGGCTTCAATTCTCACAAAGACCCACATCACAGAAGACTTGATGTTTACTGAAATTATTTGCAGCCTGATCCTGCTTCCCCACAGCTCAGCCACAGAGCCTCCCTCCTTCTTCACAACCTCTCACAGCCACAAGTCCTGTTAGACCTGCATGGCTGCCTCCCAGAGATGTCATCCTCACCCTGCATCCTTCAAATATCAAACATTTCCAGAGTGCTGTGAGCAACAGTGAGCAAAGTAATTTTTATAGCCAGGGATCAATTCTGACTCTCATGACAGAGTAGAAGAGTAACGTGACCTCACCAAGAGTGAAAACCAATATTTTGCTCACCAGTTTGTCAGAAAACAATAATAATGAATACCCAAGAGGGTAACTAAGAAAAGCTGTATCAGAGTTGCTTTCAGAACTAGCAGGACAGCTCAGTAAGTATTTTTGGTGACTGGTCACCCAGCAGTGAGAACATGTACATGAACACACAAAAGGGAGCAAAAGCTACACAAGGAGAAGAGGTTCACACCAGCCTTGGAAGAAAACTGCATTTTCAATAAATACCAAAAACCCCACAGGACAGGTTGTTTATAGGCAGTGTTTATACAGCTGCCTCTATGCTGTCGTTAGGATAAAAAGACATTGCAGAAGATCTGAAGCAGGAAGCAGTGTCTGTTGGGAAGAACCTTCTGCACTAGGAGATATACTGTACTTGATCTTTTCTTCTGATCTGCAAAAAACTGTTGCATTCACTATTAAAAAAACCCATTAAAAATAGCCCTTACATTTCACTTGTGGAGAATAGCAACTTGCAAAGGTTACTTTACAAAACCAGAAAAGCAGACTTCAAATTCTTGTATGGATAATCATGTCACAGAACTACATACATTCTTTTTGTTTTTCTTTAGCACTTGAAGAATGGAGAGAAGCATTTAAGGGCTTTCTTAATCCCAAAGAACCAGCATATGGATTACTGACAATTGGATCTAAATGCAGCTGTGAAGAACAGTCAGAGAAAATATCAATCTCAGGACAGGTGAGCAGGGCATGTGAAGGCAGCAATATATGGATAAGTATGATGTATTTTGCACTTGAGCAGTCAGTAGGGATTATTTATCTGTACAAGTCAGGTACACAGCATTTCTGTTAGTGCTGACACATGCCATCAGGATTTATCATGGCATTCCAAGCCCAGAAATTCCCACAAAGCACTTAGATGGGTTCAGATTATTTACTGAGCCTGACCAGTTATGGTGTTTGGGCACAGAACAACTGGAAATGAGACCAAAACTGAGGGACTCACTGAAGAAAAATATATAAAGGTGTCAAGTCCAAGGAGAAAGTTTAAGCAGGCTTTTATTCCCTTATTGCTGTCTCTTTGTTAGTAACAGACTGAGAGAAGAGGCAAGCTTCAGCTTGTACAGGACAAGAATTCAGTGTATAACAAGAAAGGCAATTACAGTTGGGGATCACAAAATTATAAGGAATTTTTTTATGTTCCTGATTGGAAATGGGAAACTCTTCTGCTTATCAACCAGCTGGTGCTGCTCAGGACACAATTTATATGGCCCAAGCATAACCTGAATTGGGAAGTGTGGCTGTGCAAGGTTCTCATCACCTGCATGTTACCTGAGAGCTTTCCCTTGATGTAAATACATAAAGAATATATGTATATACACCTGTGAGCAAGCCATGGCCACAGACATGAGTGCTGATGTCAGAAATGGCTCTGTGACTATTAAATATTTACAAGTATAGGCTGAGTTTTACCTACACTGAATAAAATAAAAATATTCCAAAGTCAGTGCCAGGATGAGGGGTTAGTTTACTTAGCTTCAGTCTTCTCTCACTAGAGCCTAAACACACTGACTGTTTTAAAAGCTTGGAGTTTGGTTTTCCTGTTTTCTTCAAGAGTCAGTTCTGCAAAAGTCTTCAGCATTTAACCACACCACAGTGGGTAACCATTAATACCTTAACTCAGAAAAAAAAAATCCCAAAACACACATAACCACCCACAAATGCCCCTTTCATAATTTACTTAAACACCTATTTACTTCCTGCACAGTACACTGCAATGTCTGTTTCTTCAACAAAATAAAAACACTTTGAAATGCTGTATCAAAATGACACGATCTGCTCCTGGGCAGAACATCAGGTTTCCAAGTGAAACTTCAGTTTATGATGTCTCAGTAAGAAGTAGCAGAATGTACCTAAAGGAAATCTACAGGTAAAGCTTGAAGTGTGCCAACAACACCATTTTAATTGTCCTACAAAAATAAGGATTAATATTCCCTTTAATGACTAAAGAAAAAAGCAGTTGCACACCTGTGGCACTAAACCCTGAACATTAATGCAATTTCTCCTACACACTGTTACTAAAAGGAAACCCTCAAGCATTTTCAATTCAAAAAATTATCAAGATTAATAGAGCTTACCTCTCGGAGTGTAGGTTTGCCTTTGAAAAAATCTGTGTTTTTGCTACTTTTTGGTGGGTTAAATCTTAAATTTAGAAAAGCACATCCATTGGCAATAGCCTCCAAGGGAGCTGGCCCTTCATATGGAAATCCAAGACCAACAAACAGCTGAAAAATACAACACAAGGGATATTTCAATTTTTGTTATTCACAAAAAAAGCTAAGAGCTAGCTTAAAAGAAACAAAAACCCATTCTAAATATACCAGCCTGACAAAAATGCAATGCTAAGAAGAAAACAGGAGGAATTCAACAGCTCACCACCTCCCACCCAAGCAGCAATGGAATGTCCTGCAAAACACATTTGACAATCATCATCTGTAATGAGCTGAGGTAACAAGAAGACCCTTTTAGGGCTTTTTTGGGCGGGGGGAAAAATTGGTGTTGAAGTGGAAGGTTCTAAAGTAGCCATCTCCAGGAACAGCTGCACCAGTGTTTTCCCACCTCCCAAACCAGCCAAGCCGCTGGCTTTGCCAACACAACACGCTCCTGCTACACTAATTAACAATCCTAATTAAAACGGTAGGTGGCAGCAAACAGCAGCTCACGACACTGGAGAGAAGCAGCAAGAGCCTGCAGGGGCTTCAGAGGGTTCAACACCTCCAAGGGAAACCGGAGCAAAAATCCACCCCAAAGCTTTTCCCCCTCCTGCTGAGATTCCAGGTGCTCTAGAAAAGGCTCTGCTCCACTGAGAACACATTACGTGTTTTTTTGGAGTTGTTTGAAAAAAGTCTTGACCCCTTTCCTGGCCAAATATAATGGAACCCCCTGAATTAAATATAGGATTAATTCTTGATCTTCATTTGAATGTTTGTGTATAATGGGAGAACTACAAGCTCTGAGTTGGAACAACAATTTCTCAGTACTGCTGCAAAACAATGTGTATGTATATCTATCTATATCTATATCTATATCTATCTACTGCTTTTATCAGGACAAATAAAGCACAACTTTCATAACTATGAGAGTCATGCAATCAGGACATATATTCAAGGAGGTCAAGGCATACTATTCTGCATTAAATCTTCTGCAACACAGAAATGAATCCCAGTAACAGAACATTCACAGCTGGAGGCTCCTCCTAGGAGCTGAATCTAACATTGATGTATAAACCTCCAGTCAGCCCTGTCGTGCACAGGCATTGCAGCATCAATCCTCCCCAACCCATGGCAACAACAGTATAAATTCAGAGTTGGCTCATTTTAGAAAAGCAAGTTAACACTTCTCAGCATAGCTGGGGACACACAATTTGCACTGCATGGAGCTGAATATTGTAATTTCAGTTTTCAATATTCAGGTTAAAGAAGTTGCCTACTTGCAAAAAGTTTCTCAACTCTCTTACAGATTTATACATCTTACAGAAATTCTCCAGTGGCTGACAACAAAAAGATCCAGAAGCTATTTCTACTAAAGATAAGTTATATAAATTCTGGTTTTATATATGGCATAAAATACACCACCTTTCAGTCAGAGAAATGCATACTACATATAATCTCAAAAGAGGCTGAATTTATAAAAAGATAATCTGTTGAAAACAATAAATGAAGGACATGAAACCATTTCATGCAGTCTGCACATAAAATATTATTTATTTAAACTATCCTTAGTTCAGGCAGAAAACCAGCTGAGAACCAGCAATTAAACCTATCTGAAGTATTAATTCCTCCTATGATCCTGTGTTTGTCAGTTATGCAGGGAATGCTGGGTTGTTTGCTTAGTTTTGCACTCTTTTAATAAACTGCTGCTGTGCACTGCTGAGTTCTGTGTCTGACTGGTCCATTTATTTGGGAGGAAGCTCCATGGGAAAAGAAACATGGGTTTATGTTTTGGCAGCACGGAGAGCACTGCCATCACTTAATCTATAATAAATAGCTTACCACCTGTTTCCCATCCATTTTCCAACCTCACCTCTAAGCAGCACTGTTCCTTTGAAGGAAGAAAGAAAGAAGGATGTGTCTGATCCCTAGAAAAGGGTGTGTGTGTTTGCTGCCTGGTGGCCTGAGGTTGCAGCCTGGCTCACAGCTGCCTGCAGCCCCTCAAATCCTTCTTTCAGCCCTTCTATCACCCTCCAGCACATCATCATCATCAAACCAGCTGAAATTCCCAAACTCAATCCAAACCCTTCTCCTTATAAGTTGTCCCTTCTAAAGTGTCCTTGCCTATGGCAGTGGGTGGAACTGGATGACCTTTAGGGTCCCTTTCAGCCCAAACCATTCTGTGAGTCTCTAGAATTACTGTTCCTTGGTTAGGGAGTCAGTATTTTTGTCTGGCATAAAGAGCAACACAGAAATATCTTACATGCCTCAAGAAAGTCATATGATTAAAAGAGCAAGTATTAGAAAATACAGGCCTTTTCTGTAACTCACAATGCTCTCATTTGCTAGTCCTTTGAATTACATGCAGTTTGTTATTTCCAGAAAAGCTGGAAATAACAAGGTGCTTCCTAAGAGTATGCAAGTCACTAACTGAAAAATAATTGAAAAAAAGAAAAAAGTAGAAATAACAGTCAACCATTTTCAGGTACCAGTGAAACAAACATCATCATCAATACAGATGAGGCTATGGGGAAGACAAGGCTCTGTCCCACAGGGTGAAGATTTAGACCAGACTGTGTTTCCCCTAATTTGTGGTGTAGCTGCACACTGCTGCCTCCACCACTGCAGGTGCTGACTGTGATTTCTCATCAGAGGGAGGTCTGGTCACCCAGTACACCACGGGAAGGCACCTGCACCCTAGGCCTGAAGATCCATATTGCAAAATATTCCTGCAAAAGTCAATCCTTTTGTGATTCAAACAACTTGAGAAGAGAATCACTAGGTAAATATCTTTTCAGCTGATTTTATGAAGTGTAAATATATATTCCTTCATAAAAGGCAATATGAAAACAAAGTTTGTTTGCCTGTGTCTGTGTAAGCAGGATGTTGTTCCTACTTTTATTAATCTCCATACAGGAATCACAAAACCTACTTAGTAAAAGAATTTGAGCTCTCTGAAAAATTCACAAGGACTTGAAGGAAAAAGTTGAAACTTTCTCGAAAGGAGAAATATTTCTCAAGAATTCAACACTGGTCCCTCCAAGAGAGCCTGGTCCAACTCCTCCAGCTGCCCACTTGGCAAGGAGCCCTGTGAGTTGGCAGGAAGGCTGCCAGCTCGCCTGCCCCATTCTCCTCCAGCGTGATGAATGGCTTTCCATCTCCTCATTAGGAACTGGAGCCATGGCTCGTTTTTGTCATGCTCTCCACAGCTGAAGCAGCCGTGGTGAATCTCAAACAGCCCCTCCTGCCTGCAGAACTCCCTCCCTCTGAAATCTGCTGCTTTATAGCACACACACAACGAAATGGCAGCTGCACGCTGCCTGGAATAGCTGTGTCCTACAGCTACTGCAGGGACCAAAGACATTTTGGGAATGCAAAGCCCTGATTAACAATCACAGGCTGAGCCTTCACCTACTGGTATTTTGCTGTCTAAGGACAAAGTGAAGCAGTGCAGCATAAGTTGACACTTCTGACTAGGATGAATCATGCGATTTGTTAAATTATTATTTTGCTCTCCTTTTCTGAAAACCAGAACATTTGTCAGCTGACCTAACAAAAACCTGCTAACACAGTGCTGAAATCACAATCCATGATAGGCCATTCTTGCCCTTGGTCTCAACACATCTGAAGGTTTCTGGAAGTTTGAGGACAAAGGCTGCTGACTCCTCACGATGCTCCAGACAAGCACTGCACCCACAGAGGTTCCCAGCCTGGAGTTATGGCCCTGATTATTCACACACCTGCAGCACAGGGATAGTCTGGTGACAGAACCCCATAACTAAATTCATTAGGGGACTGTGGCCATGCTGCCTAGTGAATGAAGTGATTATGATTAAAAAGTGTCCTTGAACTTCACTGCATGCATGTGCACATGGGGCTCCTCCGGGCACAAAGCTCCTGTTCAAGTCACCTTGATTTTTGTGAGAAACCTGCACTTACTTTAGCAATTCAATCCATGATCCATCTGATATAAACACAATTGACCCACATAGGCAGCAGATGGCCACTGGTGACAGGTGAGAGTGTTTTGTACTAAGCTGTGTTCAAGTATTGCCATTTAAAGAGTATTAAAAACTGGAACTGTGAATATACAGGCAGCAAGAAGACTTGGAGCAAGTGTGTCTGTTGATCAACACTGACAGGTAACCATATGCTGAGGCAGAACAGCCAGAGTACCTATGAGATACAAAGCATCAGCCACCAAAAAAACCCAAAAACCCACCCACCCCAATCCCCCTCCAACTGAAAAGTCCAAAAAATGAGATGGGAGATCTCAGTTTCCACTTTCAGTGCCAGGATGCTGCTGTTTTACTTTTTCTGCTCAATTAGATATATTGGAACTGTATTAGGCAGGAATAATAAGCAAAATGCATGATCCAATAAGCCATATTTAATTTCATTTAGTTGAAAAATCAGAAATACACTGCACTCTCATTTCCCTGACAATACTTATGCATTAGGAGAAGCAGATGGACTATTAACAGCTTATCATCAGGGCAAAGTTTTGTTAGCCTGGCTGTATTCTAAATAAATCATTTCCTTAAAAGGAAAACAGCTTTTGTCATTTGCAAACCTGCTAACGTAAGTTCAGCAAAGCTATATAAAAATACTGCTTGCAGATGTAATTTTTAAAACCCTGACTTCCTGTTATGGGGTTTGAAACACATCAATGATTTTCTCAGTACCATCTACTAAGAAATGCAGCAAATTCTGAAAATTATTTTCCACAATGTTATGAAGGAAACCATGGCCAACATCAGAATAAAAATCATTAAAATCTGAAATGCTCCAGGACTCTGACAACAACACAGCACAGATCCATGCTTTTCACCAGATACCTTTCGTGAAAAATAAGCAATTTGCTATCTCAGGAGCACTTCACAATCCCAACAGTCTCTTCCATCTGATGTTGCAATTACTGCCCAAAATCTGAGTGGAAGTAGTCTGCTCCCTCCTGTGTCACAAAATCCATACAACTAAACTGCAACGTGTAGGTATCAACTTGAGTTTGTCCTAAATTGAATGTGACTTTACATTGCATCTTAGAGCACAGCAAATATAACCAATAACAACTAGATGAGACATCTAGTTAATACTGAAAAGCAAGCTTTTTAATGTGATACATGCAAGATGGCTGATAAAAAATGAGAGAAAGGCTTAGTTAAACATAACTATTATTATGAACTGGTACTTGTATAGGGACCTCAGTAATTCTACAGAAAGTTCATTTGCTTATTTTACTATTTCAGTGACTTGAACACATGTTTTTTTAGGAGGTAGTCACTGTTCATACCTGGGGCTATTACAAGGCAATATTCAATATTCTTCCCATATTATGATTAACACAGGGATTTCATACTCCACACAGGCAAAAGCTGTGTAATCTCAGATTATCTATTATGAAAGCAAATGTTGACTTTTAAATATGAAACATTATGTGTATCTGCATGCATCAAGCACATACACACAGTGGTTGTATTTAAAAACTCATAATTTACCAACAGCTGTCACACAGAGATGTCAAATTACCATCATTTTCCCAGGTACTTCAAAAAGGAGCTCTCTGCACTTGTGTGGGAAGCCTAAGAGGTGCTTTTTTTTTTCTTTTTTTCTTTTCTTTTTCTTTTTAAAGAGATTTTTCTGTGGAAGTGCACAGCAAGAAACTGTCAGCAGTGGTGCACTTCCACAGATTCTGCTAATGTTAAACACACAACTCCCTTCTTTCACCAACTTGAAGGTGAACATCCTATTTAAATGTAATCTAGTGAAGCGTTTTAATGCTACAGAGTGCCACAAAGATGATGGGAAGGGCAGAGAACCCCAACAAAACTGTGGGGACAAAAGTTGATTTCCATGTATATCCTGTCCCTCATCTTGAGTTGCCTTGGCTCTGGGCCACAGGCAAAGCACATCACAAAAACCACTCCTGTGCCACTCTCTGGGCACAGCTGAGGCAGGGCAGGACATGAATGGCAACTGAAGGAAGGGCAGCTTTGCTCTCCTCCCTGAGAGCAGGGCTGCTCTGGGTTAAAGCCACAGGGAGGGCACAGCAGGCACGTGGCTGGGCAGCTTTTGGATGTCACCTAACGTTGACCTCAGGGATGTAAAACAGAGCATATTCTCAGCTGATAATCTCCTTGAGCTGAATATCACATTCAAGAAAATGAAAAATGCATTTATCCCTGTTTCTCGAGCTGGTTGTTAAATGGGACTGTAGGTTGTCATCCCAATTTTCTAATATGAGCTGTCAATCCACCAGACAGACATGATGAAAAATGTATTCTTGGCACACAGAACACAACTTAAGCTCCTTTACACATGATAATTTTTTTCCAATGCTTTTAAATTAGGAGCTTATTCATAGGAGGTGAAATGCAGGCACTTCAGACACCCTCTACTTGGAGATATTTTTTGCCACCACTTCTGCTTGACAAACTTACTTTGGTTTCCCTCAGCAGAAACTGCAAATCCCTTCCACTGAGTATTCCATGGTTCTTGACATAGCCAGGAATGTACATGGTGCTTGTCCCATGAACAGTTCCATGGACCTCCATATAGGTGTGGATGACATCCAGATAAGCCTTCTTATCCTGTAATGGCAAGGAAAAAATATTTTTAGTCGTTACAAATTTGAAGCAGCAATATTTAATCAGAGTTGGCTTTTCAATCTCCTGTATCACAAAAGCCAGGGAAAGAAGTTCACTCATTCCTATTTGATTTCTAGAATGTTTGATCTTTAAATTATTAGTTTGGTTTTCTACTAAACTGGAAGAAAACTGCAGCTTTTTCATTTAAAGTTAAGGTATAAAGAAATGAATACCAAGACCCTCTTAATTTCTAATTGGACACAAACCAGGGTGCTATCAGACAGCTGTAATCTCAGTATGCTGAAAAAATACTTGGCCTAAAAATACTAAAAACCCATTTTGAAATATCACATTTTCACTGTTTTGGTCAAAGATGCAAAATAATTATCTTCTCTGTGAAAAAAAGGGTGAATGTCACCTTAGTAAGATGCAGTCTTGCCAACTGAATAACTGAACACACCCTTTATCTAAATACCAGTGTTGGAGTTCCATGAGAGACCTACAAATGTTCTGCCTACCTGAATCTTTAAAAGCATTTTGGAAAAGACACAGAGAAGAGCAATGGCTTTAATATTTCATTTAAAAAAAAATAAGAAAAACTAGTACACCATCCTAGTTTGCACACAAGATTTACTTTAATTTTCAATGCCATATGTTTTTTGAGTTTTGAAGACTACTGGCATTCCAAGGCAATTAGCTGAAGACTGTATTTACACGTAGTCTGCAACACAGATCAGAAGACTTTCCCTCAATATTTGCACATAGTTGTAGTAATAGCTCTAAAATCAGGCAACAAGTTGCTCTTCTTGGCAGCAAGTGAGTTTTTACCAATTCTACTTTCACTCACTATTTTTGTCATGTAAATTTTGTGCACAGTTCCTCCACAGCCCTGTGTGAAAGCTGGCCAACAGTTTTACTGAAGTTCATTCAAAGGACAAAGCAGACTGATGAAAATCCTGTCTTTTCCAACCCTGGAGGAGCAGATGTCACACCTAGGTGGATGAGTGCTACTTCTTACATCTTTTCTTGCTGAATTAATTGCTGCAGAGGGTGTTTAATGTGTGTGACAGTGGCTTCTCCCCTCAGCCTGCTCTGCTGGTGCTGGGCAGGATGGGCTGAGCCACCCCTGAATGCCCCTTCTGGCAGCTCTGCCAAGGCTGCACCAGCCAGACACTGTCTGGGAAAAGTGTCACCTAAAACAGCCAACAGATAAAGACAAAGATGCTTTCTTGTTCTTCTGGCTGCTCTTGTTATTAATTAACACAAATTATTCAAAAAACTAAAAGCTTGTTCCATTTTTTACTTCGAATCTGAATTGCTCTGCAAGATATGTTCCTCATGTAATTGCTAAAAACATAATTACAAACTGTGAGAAACTTGTACACTTTGTCAAAAGAAAATCCATTTAGAACTTCTTTGGAAATGAGCATGAGAAATATAAAATGAGTGGCCTGGTCTTGTTTCCAGAGGATACCTTCATCCTGCCTGCCTGGCTTTTAACACATGCAGAACTCTGGAGTGTTCAGGGTTCTGAATGGAAGAGAAGCAGCAGCTGCTACTGACACCATCCACCTGTGGCCACAACATCAAGGCATTGCCTCAGATTTACTGGCTCATGGCACAAACCCTGGTGACACAAATGCACTCTAACTCAAAAAAAACCTGAGCAACAAGCAGCTAGAAAGATCAAAACCAAGATTACCTACAATTGCACTTCTTTTCAAGACTGCAATGACAATTTTACAAACCTTTTACAGAATACTTAGCTATTTAAAAATGACATTAACCATGCACAGTCAAAACTCGGAATAGTACTTAGGCATATAATCAACTTCTTTCCCAGTTCAGAGTCTAAAACCATAAATAAAACATTTCTTATCCAAATGAATGGGTACTTTATCCAACCAAAATCTCACTCTTTTATTTCCTTACTTACTTTGAGTCAAACCCAACTGCTTTCACAATCACCTACAAAGTACCATAAAAGTACTATTAGCACCTTATACTTCACCTAAAGCTCACTAAAATTTGTCTCCTTTTGCCATTAAGTAGTCCTGAATTTCCACATTCCTTGCAGACAAGTGTTATTTTGGATCATAAAAGTAGATATTCTAGGAAGCCACCTCAGAAAAATGATCAGGACACATAATCAAATTCTAGACATTAAAAAGGGTGAATTAGAAAATGAGAGAGTGCAAAAATGGCATTTAAAAATAGAAAGGCTACATGTAAATAAAGCAAGAAATGGGACTTGCAAACAAAATACTAACATTCCTTCAACTATTTATTTGTTTTTTGAGTTGCTCACTTGGGAGCAATTATTCTTTTATCTTAAACCACTTGAACTTTACTTTCTCCAAAGAGACAAGATCATGAGCTGCTGGGGACTGATGCAAACCTGACATTCTCTGCAGTTTCTGTCAGGCTGCACTGCTCACCCTGCTGCCCCCACTGCAAACCTAGACTTAGAGGATGGAAGATAATCACATTTTAAAAAAGGCAAATTATTTCTCCTCAGAAGCAAAATGAAAATGTAACAGTGAGTAACAGCTACACAAGCCTTTTCTGAAACAATTTTTCAGCAGCTAAAATAAACATGCCATTCAGAAAAGGACTTTTTGTTGATCACTGACTGTAGAACTGCTATTACTGTTCATCAATCACTTCCACCTACTTTTAAAAGCATCATGATAAAGCCTTTCTCACCAAAGAAATCAAGTGACAACTGTTTGATAAGTCTTTCCCTAGGACAATGTTGACAACAAGACACAGTATGAAGAGGTGAAATTTTAAGTTTGGTGGGTAAAAAATTTAAAAATAAAAGCTACAAAAATATGTGGTGGAAACACAATTCATCAAGAATTAAAGTCTGTTTTTAGTTTTCTCAGTGTAGTAGCTGGTGGCAATTAACAACTCTGCTTTATCAACAGTTTGCCAATCTAAGGTAATGACAGTATTGTGCAATTTTGGACCATTTGGGTGCCCTTACAGAACACAAAAATTTCAGCACTGAATGAAATCAAGCACCACTACAGGCCAACTGCATTATAGAAGAGTTTGATTCAGAGTCCTCAACTGTTTTATGGCTTGAAAGTTCAGACTACAAAACATATGTAAAACAGCCCATATATCCAGCCTCACTTCCTTGCATAGAAAGATTCAGAAGGGAATGGTTTTATAAAGCTTGACAAATGTAATTCAGAAAAGCAAGTACTGGAATACATCTTTGTGTATCCTAAATGCATACTGTAAAGTAGAGAAGTCCCATCATCTGAGTGCTTATCTGTAGAAGTGTCAAGTCAAAAGTAAGCCAAAATTCAGTGTACATGCAATGTATGACAATCAAGATTGTGACACAAACATAATCTCTGCTCAAGAACTGTCACCCTCTCAAAGACTTCTCAAGACATGCCTGAATAATGAATATCCTGTCTAGCAGGGAGCTCGAAGAGTGCACAAAGGCTGGGGAATAGTAAGAGATTAAAATGCATACAGTGTTTTACTCACAAAGAGTAGATTAAGTCTCCTCAAAGTCAAATATGAAACTTTCAAATTTATAAATCTGAATTTGCCCTGAATTCATAAATGGATGTGGAGAAGATTCAGTGATTCATGACTAGTAAGTACAAATTCTCCACTGACCAAGTAATCTGAAATGTAAATAAAGAGTTAACTATGTAACCACATAAACCCATCAAAATGACAATTCTTCCTGTCCAAGCAAATCCTCTCTCACCAAACTGGTAGCATTTTCTAAAGAAGCCAATCAGCTTGTAGGAATTCTCTGGAGTTCTTAAAGGAATTAAATCTCTTGGGGAGAGATTGGGAATCACTCTTGTGAATGAACAGTCATCATGTGAAAGAGAACAGAGAAGTGACACAAGGAAGCTGTCATTATTCACAGCAACAAAACCCAAACTAACTTCAAAATGTTGGATAAAAAATCATAATATTGAACACCTGGGTTTTTAAAGCTTGGGGAATTCTCTCAAAGCATGCATACTCAATAACTTAAGAGACCAGGCTATAGTCCTGAAATTAATGCATATTCATCACATTTCCTGAATACATGCACATGTGCTAATTATTGCTATGGACTTGTCTGATATGGTTCTGGCTCTTTTGCTGCATTTTTTTCTCCTTGAGAGTATCTCAAATATGTCATCAAGTCATAATGTACTTCTCTTATCCTTCTTTTCTCAAACACACAATCCTTGTTCTCAAAACTAAGATAGCAGCCAGTACATATTCATCACTAATTCAAGTAAACAAGGAGGCATTAGCTGGCACAAGACTAGTAAGTCTCAGACACAGGGAGTTAACACAAGACCTCATTAATCTCTGGCATTTGTACTAAGCACTGCATGGTACAAAACTCAGCATTAACCATGAATATGGGGATAATAAACTATATGCTGAAGTTCAAAGTATTTTCCAACATCTTCCCCTACTGCTGCATAGACTTCTCAAAGAAATAAAACCTGTTTGGTAACTTAAGTAAAGTGACAGAAATATTGAAAACCAGTCCTCACTTCAAGTGTGGAAAGAAACCCCTGAGCCAACCAGTGTCACTTTGCATTATAACACCACATGAAAAAAATCAGTCCATTATTCAGTAGCAGTCAGTCCACTCACCAACCAAGTAAATGACAGGAATTTTTTGGAAAGAAATTCAGAAATAAAGATAGTATTATTGAACTATTCTGTAAAAAACATTCTCTCTGTCCCTCCTCACACACTGCTGCATTTCTGGTCCATTTTCTCAAAAAGAAGCTGAAAACATTGGACAGTGTTCTGCGAGGGGTAAGAAGGATCCAAGACACAGGACAGTTTCCACTGCTACACACAGAAATCTGCAAGAAATGCTTTAACAAAGTTTGAAAAATACAACTACTCAGAATATGAGGGAGGTTTAGAAACCCATAGTTGGCATAAAGAACGTGGACAGTGACTGACTATTCAAAATGTCCTATACAAAGAAATCCAAACAAAGCTCATAGGAGACAGGTTTAGGAAAATGCCCAAGTTAACTATTTCCCCTGCAACAGGTCAGAAATTTGAGGGACTCAATGACAGAAAAAGCTGACAGAGGCAAAGCCAAGTTTGCACAGGTTCATGATCAAACACTTTGAAATCACCTCTTACTGAGATCTCAATAATGTGTGAATAGACAGTTTATCAACAGAGAAACACATTCAGGAAATACACCAAATTAAAAAAGCTGGAAAGAGAGAGAATTTGCAAGGGAAGTATTATATAACTTTGCCATGTTCTTGCTCTTCCTGAATGTCCATTTATAGTATCTTTTTTAGGCACCATTTATCTACGAATAAAACACACATTGGCACATATATAAATGCTGCACAAAGAATGAGTGTAAAACATCTCAGTGAAGGTTTAGGATTTCTGGCAGAGCTTGAAGAACCTTATCCACTTCCCTATCCTCATCTTTTTCATCCACGAAGGTTTGGGGCTTTTTAAACAGAAAAAAGTTTTCCTAAGAGGTTTTCCCAAGATTTGACAACTTCATTTTCATGCAATGCACACCAACACCTGATCAGCAATTTCCTGCCCTTTGAATGGATATTTCCAGAGCCAAGGAGACATCCTTGTTCACTGTAAGTGCTGAAGGAGAAAAGTGAAGGGGGTACAGATGAAAATAGGAAGTGGGACCAGAGGAAGAAAAGGTTGTGTTGGTCTTGTGCTAACCAAGTAACAGTAGATGATTCTGTTAATCTGTACTGTGAGAGCTCAGCAATTCATTTTGCTGCTGAAGAGTTCTGCAAAGTGAGAAGCTGATCACTGGCAGGCAAATATCCATGAAAAAAAAGTAGATTTTTTTTCTTCATTCATAATAAATTAAACTCTAATTTTCATAATGTATGTTAAAGAATAAGCCTTTAAAAATAAGCCTTTAAAGTTGTATGCTTATTTACTGCACTCATTTTTGACTGACTTGTTTATGATTCATACTGCTCTCAGAAGGAAATGGTGAATTTCAGAAATGTTGCTGAGCTAAAGTGTCTGGCTCATTCCAATTTGTTAAATTTGTGGCATAGTGCAGGACAGTGCCCCTAGTGCAGGCTCTAGGGTTTGAGCCTAGAGCTCAAATTGATCAAGTGATCAATTTTGATCAATTGATAAGCCCCCAGTGCTGCTGCACATGGAGAGGAACACAGAACAACCACAAGACAAGTTTGTGAGTGCAGTGACCACGTGGGAGAAAAGGTGAGAGGGAACTTCTGTCCTTTTACTTATTTTTCTTTTAGTTTAGAAGTTGAAATAAAATATTTATCCAAAGCACTATCTTAAATGTGAAGTACAAAAACAGACCAGAAGGAAGGGACTTTCCTCCCACTCCATGCAAGAGGGTGTATGATGGGGAAATTACATTTCATCACATGTTCCCTGGAGCTATAAAGGAACATTAGTGTGAACAGCCTCAGTGATGTGCTTTCCCATGGAGAACAAGCTGAAGGTAACCATTTCCAGTGCAGCTCTTCAAAAGTTGCTATGCAGGCAGTAGATATTTAAGGAGAATGCCCAGCTTCTCAAGTGGCATTAGTAAGAAACTCACACATTATTTTGTCTCTAAATATACATATATTTTCAATATTTGCTCCATTAGACTACAATAAAAAATTAAAGCAGTCATCATATGTTATGCATTGATGCCTATTTTCAGATACAAGCAACCTTCTGACTTTTCTCACAGCAAAAAAAAAAAAAAAAAAAAAAAAAAAAAAAAAAAAAAAAAAAAAAAAAAAAAAAAAAAAAAAAAAAAAAAAAGAGAGAAAGAAATAGTAAGTACTGGAAAATAAATTTTACTTTCTCTAGGATTAAGGATCAAATTAGTGGGAGAGTATAACAGTAATTTGCAGGAAGAAGAACAAAGAAAAGACTTAGAAACTGGAGCTAAGGCAACATGAAAGGCTTCAAACATTCTCTTTTAATTGAAATGGTCTGTAATTAAAGCAAATTTTGATAATAAGAGAGCATTATGGGTTTCACATACATTTTATCAATTCCTTTTTTCCCCCTCACTTTGGCATAGATAGGACTCTCTTTACTCCCTAGTACTGCCAAAAATCCTAAACAAAACCCCAAACCTCTTATGCCAACAAACACTTTCCCAAAACTTGGTAAATGCTGCCCTTCATAGCTTACCTCTAAAGATAACCTTTAGAAATGTGGCTCTAAAAATTCTTTAGAGCCTTCTATTTGTTATCCTCAACCCACCTAGGGTGGATTTAGTTATCAGAGTGAAACAAAGCAGATTTGTCTTACACTCTGCACCACAGCACCACACATCCCTCCTGAGCTCAGGAGATGCACCCAGACCTGGCCACTGTGGGGTGGGGTGGGGTGGGGTGGGATGGGATGGGATGGGATGGGATGGGATGGGATGGGATGGGATGGGATGGGATGGGATGGGATGGGATGGGATGGATGTCACTGGGCTCAGGCACACAGAAAAACCCATATCCATGGCTATAAAGCCATGGTGTTTTATCCAGCCCCAGGGTGAAGAGGTCCTGTGCACACCTCAGCCCCACTCGGTTTAAAATAAACAATTTTTTGTTTATTTAAATAATTTGCTTGGTTTAAAATAAACAATTGATTCCCAAAAGCACCAAAGTCTGGGGACAGGAACACTCTCCCCTCCCCATTGTGCTCCTCTAATGACTGATCAGCCCCAGCACTGCCACATGTACTCTGTGCAGATTACACTTCTCATTAATTGGCCATATTCAGTAGAAAGAACAGGAGCAGGATAAATAGATTAGTCTGGTTCCATACAAGCCGTGGTGGCAGATGAAAAGAGCACTGAACAGGGAAAATGAAAGAAACGTGAAATAAGCAAATTACACAGACACAAGATTAGTTCACGCTTTCTCTTGATCACAAGAATTGGATTTTATCACCCCAGATAAGAAATCCCACACTGTAACTGATTCAAAGTCTATCTGCAGTGATTTGCACTTTATATATGAGTGCATATGGGCATGACTGCAGTTACAATCTGCAAGTTACAGCTTTAATCTGCTCGATGTTACCAGCACACAGTACACATTTTAATATGGCCAGATACCAAATCAAACATCTTGGAAAAAACAAGATAGGAAATACTGATAAAATGCAGCAGTGACTTGAAAAGCAGCACTTTAAGAAATGATACAAAGGTCTTGGCTGAGAGTTCCTAATGGTGAAAAGGGGACCTGTCTAAAAATGAGACAGTATTTCCTTTTTGATTTGATGCTGGTATGACCCACATGCCCTTTGCAAACACTCACTTTTCAAGAGGAATGTGAATAATCTTGAGAAGGTTCAGAGAAAACAGACATGTGAAAACTCTTAAGGATTAGAAAGCACAAAGCTCTCAGGGGCTCAGCATATATAGGATTTTCAGGAGACGACTGTGGGTTACTTTGACCTCAACCTATATATTCCTACAGGGCAACAGAACAGAAACATCATCAGACATGTTGAGAAAGTTTATAGCTGCTGTTAAGACTAGAAACAACCATATGGAAATCTGTATCAGAAATAAAGTCTTAAAAGAAAAGGCAATTATTGGAGGACTTCACCTGAGGAAACAGTGAGCTTTCCCATTGTGTGCTGTTTAAAAATCAAGACTGGGTGTTTTTTCCCAAAAAGGCAAGTTTTTGTCTTAATCAGTCCATGATAAGGAGGTTAGGGGCATACAGAATATTTGGGCACACAGAGGTGGAGGTAACTTGGAAGAAATCCAGCTACTAGTAATCTCTTTGAAAAGTGCATGAGGTGCACTTTTCCCAGGTGTGTCAGCCTGGAAGAAGGAGCCACAGAAAAGGATAATGGCTGAAAGAAAGAGGACCATTATGACTTTAAAACACAATATACTTTAATTTAGTGAAAACATCACCATTGGTTTTGTTATTCTGCTGTCCTCATCTGCAGATGAGAGAAAATACAATAATGGTAATATTAAATAAACAAAACTCTGATATTATTACAGGGAGATAAAATGAGACTGCACACTTTTAGAGCCTTTAGTGATACAGCCTTTCCATCTCAAAATGCAGCCCATTTTTTGTTGTAGCTATAAGAACAGAAGCAATTGAAAGACAGGTTTGCTTATGATTAATGATAGTTCACACCTTAAATTCTACATTATGTTTACCAGCCTTTTGCATTTTCTAAAATTATTGTGACATTAAAACTATATTTTTTAGTCTACCAGAAAGGTGTACAGAAATAGCAAAGGACCCATATCAATCTAGACAGAAGTTTCTCTAACAGAAAGACTTCAAAATGTTCAGTTTAATTATTCATATGCATTTGTTTCCAGAAATAGAATTTAATGGGTTTAGACAGATGGGAAACTTTCAAATTTCAAATGATGCTTTATTTTATTGATCAACATAAATTTACTCAAGTATATGAGTATAAAAAACTCACCTTCCAGAAATTATCTACTTTGCCATAAACGAGAGATTGATTCTGCCTTTTGATGTCATTAATGTGTTTAATGTCACTGGAATTCAGATGCTGCTCTACCACAAATCCAAGGAAGCTGTTGTCTGGAGTGTGAGCTGTAAGAAACAGAGCAGATTCAGAACCTTTGACAATATTGCCTAATGCTACATTAGAGTGAATGTTGTCAGAAGAGAAGCTATAAGGAACATATTATGCAACTGATCACCTCCTCCTTCTTAGTACAGAAAGACACATTTGCTTGCTTTATTATCCAAAATAGTTTTTATTAATTTTAAGTCCTGCTTCATACGCCTACTGGAGTAAGCAGCTATTTTCTATCTTGTTTCTGATATTAAAAACTCTGCAGCTGGACTGAGTCCAATGGTAATGATCTTTTTTGTCTGTGTGCTAAGCTTTATTTTATTATAAGAGATACAAGAAACAGAAGAAATTCAGCTTGACAAATCTCACAGATAAAATACCATCAGTTTGAAAACCCCCTGAATTTATGCTTGCTAGCAAAGATGCAAGCAAAAATGGATGTTGCTCAATGGCATAAATAAATTTTAGCAAATTTCTTGGGTTCACCTCCTACACTGGAATTACCAACAGCAACCACCCAACTCTCTGTGTATTATGTACCCAAGCTAATTAATGGCCTATCAAGTCACACTATGCAAATCAGAATACAAATTGCATTGCCTAATTCACCCAGACACAGTGATCATAAAATATTTAAATGTGGCAACTAAAGACAGCGAAACTTTTCAATCTAATCCAGGAAAAAAAAACAAAAAACAAACCAACTAAAAATAAACTGTGTGCAAAGGATATGCAATTTATTCACAGTTTTTTATATTAATTTTAGCTCCTGTTGGTCTTTTTTCCAGCAGTGCCAGTCAGTGTTCTCCCCCCATAAAGACACAGATATTTAGGCTTATTAAAAGTAAGGGGTTTTGCTGTTTTGGATTGTGTTTTTTTTTGTAGACTGGGTGTTTAATTCCAGTGATGGACTCCAGCTCTCAATGCTTCAGGTAGAAATCCATCCCTACTATATAAAAACTATTCCAACACATGGGGGGGGGGGTTTGTCTCTAAAAGTGCCACAGCCTCACAAGTGCATATAGAAAAACAAAGATCCTGCAATAAACAGCAGGATCTCCTCTCTAGGCCTCCTGTTAAATTCTGGCAGACAAGCTGACAATTAATCACATTTTGAAAAGCTTAAGAACACAAAACAAAACAAGAAACTCCTAAATCCAAAGACAACACCCCAGGCATTTTTGATATGTGCAATGCTAAACCTCTACTAGAGTTATTAAGGAAAAAAATTCTATTGCAGTTATGAGGATTTGCATTTTTGTTCCTGAAAAATCAGCCAAGTGGATAATGCAGGAGAGCAGAGAAACCATGCACAGTGTACACGTCCCTCTGCCATTACATTTAGTCTTTCAAATGACAATTACTCTTTTTCCACAAAAAATGCCTCAGCAACAGCCAGGCACCCACTTAGACCCAAGGACTTTTTAGAATTTTACACAGCAAACAGCACATTTCAAATATGTCTGAAAAGGGGCATTTTTTCCATCCTTTCATATTTTTGGATGAGAGACTGCATTCAAAGGAGAGGCAAGGCAGTACACAATCAAAAGAAAAATAAACCTTTGTTAAAGTTAGCACTTAGAACTGGTGGAATTCAGTGCCTCAAGCATCACGGACAGGAAGCAGCACTCAGATGGATTTTTAAGCAAGATCACGCACTTTCACAAGTACCAGTGCTGTTATTTTGCATGAAGGTATTTGAATTAAAAACATGGAAAACATTAAAAGGCAGAAAAGCTCTCACGCTTCTGGGAAACTCAGAGAACAGTCAAGCACTTGGTAATATGCCACAAGTTTGAATATGGCTTGCTTGTTGCTCAGGATAATTTTCTGCCCTTATAATCAGAGTTCTCAAAACATAATAGAGTCTGGGGATCTTGGGAAGCTGTCCAGGGTTCCAATCTGCCATAAAATCTTTACTGATGCATAATGTGCACTTTTAATCACAACCCCATAAAGATGGTGCTATCTCTGCAGCAGAGAACAAAACAACAAATATAAACTTTAAATATCACAAAACATGTTGACTCTTCTGCACCTAGTACAAAAAAAAAAAAAAGAAGAAAAAAAAAGAAAAATCCTTGAATAATCCACAGCACTGAAATCACTCCTGCTTCAGAATTAGTTTGCATGCAATGTATTTACCCCTTTTCCTGCAGAGGAAAACCCACAGTCATTTCCAGCAGTAAAAATTTGAAATGGTTATTTATTAAAATTCCAATACAGTCATACTCTTTGGAAAATTCATTATGAAGCAATTTTCTCTGCACAAGAGACTGCACCAGTGGCAGTCTGTACTGCCACAACAGAGATCTCTAGAGAGAAGATTTACTTTTTTCTGCATTTCATGGAGTGGGACTGAGCAGTGCACACACAGCACACAGCTGTACCACCAGTGTTCATCCAGCTGCTTTCACTGAGTGCATCATCCCCTTGGTGCTATCTTGAACAGGACCTCACATCTGAATTTCCCAACAGCTGGACAATTTAAACAAAGGAGTCTCTTTTCCATTTAGGACATAAGGCAATAAATATTAGCAAATGTGGATATAAAACAAGCTCTGCTTACTAATATCCAGACACAAACTCTGCAACCACTTTCAAGTCACATTTCACCACCACATGTTTTGTTACTTGCTTCCCAACAACTGTGAATGCAGCCTTTTATCTCTTGAACAACCTTCACTTATATTTCTCTGGAAAAACTTGCACAGCAAATGTTGACAGACAAAATATGCCTCTCTCAAGAATTTTACAGGGCAACTGAAATCAAAAGCATGTCAACCTGACAGCAGCATGTGTAATTCTGCTGTGAAAAGCAGGAAAGTTTCAAAGGTTGATGATGAAAGCTGGTGAGAGAGAACAGAGCTCTGGTCTTTATATCAGACAGGGACCAGCACCAAACTCTGGAGGTGGGCTGCTCACCTTGAAATGTTTCCTTACAGGTTTGGGCTGAGCAGCCTCTGCACCCAGCAGAAGGCACTGCCTGAGCCTCCCTTGCCCTGCAGCAGTGACCCTGCTCCTGTCAGAGGTAACACACCTGAATTACTGCTACAGCAGCCAAGAGGCTCAATTCTGGAATCCACTGCCATAAAGCCAAAGATTAGGTATAGACCAGGTCACAGTAATCATTTAATCTGACCAAATTTATAGAGGATTTCTACCTTTTTTGGTGTCTCATATATTTTATAGGTTTGGCTAGGGTCACTTCGAAAGATATTTATTGATGCTTGAAAGATCTACAGCAGTGCTGAAATATATGACTTATTTCACAATAGCTTTGTACACTGCTGGCAAATAAATGTCAGTTTACCTGAGGGTAAATACTCACAATATGAAAACAAGCTAGGTAAAATTTTTTACAAAGCCATAAAAAGGTAGCTACAAAAGATTTTTTGCTGAGAGGCCATTTTTAAATTCTGAACACAAAGAAACAGTGAAGGGATGCTGCTGCTGAGCTGTTGAGAAACAAAAGCAGAAATGCCACTCACTAGCTAACATAGTTCCAAACTTCAGTTCAACATGATGAAATGCAGGACTGCAGTTTATGAAAATGTAACCTAGCAAGCTCCTCAAAGATCTATTGCTTCATAATAATATTAGAGAAAGCAAAAGTAACAAAAACTTTTGTTTGTTACTGATACTTGAGGGAAAAGCCAAGCACCATTTTCCACAGATACTCAGTGCATAAATTATGTTCCCTAGCATTACTTATATTAACTCAATATTTTTATTTTCTTATTGCTAAGTGGAAGCACAACAGAGCTTTTGCAGTCTACAGACACTGGCACAATTCTTCCCATTTAGCAGTTGCATTTTATTAAACTGTGAATTTGTCTTTCATAATGAAAGAAAATCTTCTCAATGACAGCATTCCTTTTTAAAGCTCTAAATTATTTACAAGCACAGAAGTACTCACGGAACATTGTATAAAACTGCTGTGGATTGAGGTTCCACTTTCCCCATGGTGTCTTGTGGCCTTTAGACTGGGCATAATGGGCATGGTTAAACTCTGGCTCAGTCCCAAAGGAGTCCAGAACTCTTAGCATACACCTGAAAAAGAAAAACAAATTTCCTGTAGGTACACCTACATATGTCTACATAAGAATATGCATATATATATATACACACACATAGTCGTGATAATTAAAATGTGTTTTGTCTTTGAAGCTGTGGAGAACATATAAACTGAAGGTACATTTTAATTTCAAACATTTATTTTCATATTACATTCACAAAGATGTTATGAAGAGTAAATTCAAGGATATATCTGATATTCAAATAACAACCCTGGAGCTTATTTTGTCCTTACAGAATGAAGCTATGCTTTAAAATCCATGTAGAGCTTATGGGAATGCCACAGTGGCCACCTGCATTTCCTAGGGCTCTGGAGTAGAATTTAGGCAGAAGAAGAGAGGATTTTCCATGTGTTTTCTGAAGTTTTCAACCATTAGCACAATGCAAATGCAGTAACCAGGGGCCATATGCCAAGAAGATCAGAGCAGAAGAGGACAATTGTGTTTGGTCTCCAGGTTCTGACTTTTAGACCTGCTGTAAAAGCACTGAAGATGGTTTAATATGCTGAGTTCTTGCAGTCAGCTCATTTATTTGTTTATGAAACATTTTGTCACAGACTTTTGAAGGAACAAGATAAAAGTCAATTACCTGCATCACCCAAAACACAACAGAGAGAAATCCTGGCACTGGATTACAAAGGGCCTGGGAAGAGAGAATCACACTCACCCTTTATTTAAAATCCTATTAATTTCTTGAAAAAGAAAGGGCCAGAAAAAGTGTCAATATGAAGAAGACAGTACATGTTATAGGATGGAGATTCTAGAAGTTATGTTTCCAAAATGCTGCCTGCCAAATGTTTGATATGACTTGGTCATACTGACCACTGCCACTGTAGTGCATGACAGAGCTCCAGAGCTGCTGACTCTACCATTCTTCAGCCCTCTACAAACAGAAAACTGCAGAAAAGACTTACACAGGAATTAAATACCATGTGCAATTGTGTTACAAACACAAACTCTTATCAGTACACATTGTATCATTGGGTTTGTGTGTGCTAAGGAAGGGACACAACCACATGGGTGGCAGAGAAGGGAGGCAGCTGCAAAACTTACAATTAAAAGTGGCTATTTTTCCCAGTCTTCAACATTTCCCATGCTCCAAGCCCATATGCACATTCTGTTCACTAAAACACCTGATTTTGGTGTTTAAATGTGAAAGAATTTAGCTTTCACAATGTGAAATAACTTATCTCCAACCATTTGTCAACTTAAAAACCAAAATACTTTAGTCCCCAAAATAAATTTACATGTTACTTGTATGTTGCTCCTTTCTCTAAAGTATTTAATAATGTGAGAAATAGGAAAAAAACCCCAGCAACTTTTAAACTCTTCTATGAAATGCTACCTTTGTATTTCAAAATACAAATTGAGAAAAATGATGTGTTTTTTTTAAACCTTCAGAGAGATATTTGAAACAAAAGAAAGTCAAAATATACAACATATTATGATTCACCAAACAACAAAGCTGACAGATCACTTTCTGTGCAGTGTTTTCTGTCAACTGTTCTCAATGAAAATATTTTACAACAGTGGCAATTATCTCTGCATCACACAAAATACTCCAGCAGGACCAAAACAAGTTCTGCACTGATGAATCATTCAGTAATAAAAGCCCTCTTATTTCTTGGCAGGTCTTAAAACAAAATTCCTCTCAAACATACAGCTTTTGGCCAGGTACTTGAGTAGAGGAGAATGAAAAATAGGAGAAAGCTACTGAAAAACTGCAACATTACTGGAGTTTGTCAAGAGATTTATGTAAGGACCACCACACTGCTTTGTTGCCTCTTTTTTTCCTGAAGTCAGATGTAAGATAAAAAGCACTAATGGTTCACAGGGATATGAGGAACCATGTCCAATACATGCAGGGTCTCTGAATCAAGACAGGCAATGTGATGCAACAGAAAGCAGGAAAGTGAAAACAATATTTCTATTATTTGGTATAAACAAAGAAAAAAAAGATGACAGAAGAAAAGTGCAAGTCTGTGCAGGAATGGTATGAGAGATCAAAGCTTCAAGTGGTGAAACTAATCCCTGAAATGCAGAAGAAAGGAGCTGGTAAAGATTTAAAATTTAGAAATGAATGTAATTAATACCAGTTATGCTGAACTGATATTTTAATATATGTAGGAATGCCTTGATTGTCTACTCTACTACTACAGTCTCCATTTGTTTCACTTGATAATTTAGATGCCTTTCATTTTTAAATTATTTTTGCATACAATGCATTAGCCTTTCTAAAGTGAAATAATTAATTTTGAAAATGATAAAACAGCATTTTTTAAAATAATTGAGGGATATATTTTAAATTAAAATGCGAATATGGTATACCTTTAATTTCAGTTTTCCCACTCTTCCTTCCTAAAATGTCACCTTAGCTTTAGCAGTGAAGCTGCAGAGAATTGCAGCGTGCCCTGAAATTGGTGTCAGAATAAGTCTATTCTCTGCCTAATTAAAAAGAGGATTGGTAGGTAGTAAATTGCTTTAGAAACATCCATATTAGTCTTTTTTGTCTAGCACATTAGAAGTGACAATTTTAGGGTTTATAAAAAAAAAATCAGACAAAAGTAACCCAGGATTATTTAAAGGGAGCTTTTCCTTCCCCTTGAGTATTGGGCAGAAGCACAATCTTAACAGAGCTGACCCAGTGGAAGTATTTATATTTATACACATTTTTTTTGTATCCTTCTCCCACTTCATCAGGCCACTCAGTATTTGCATTTGAAATCTCAGGACAGAAAATAACCCTCCTAAAAAAGATGTGTTCTAGAGAACACGTACAAAGCAGGAATGTTGCTCATTTCTCAGGATAGCTGTCACGTTAATTTATTTCAAGAAAAAAAAAAGCCAGCTGGATTGTTGGCATATGGGAATGAGTCATTGCTAGAGAGACTATGGAAAAATGAAAAAATACCAGATTTTTATGTGCTGCATGGAGGATGAGGGTGCTAAGAAATATTACACTCCTCAAAGTATATTAAACTATTAATTTGTATGTTGATTCATTGCACACAAGCTGCAGTCAAACATCCACACCTCAGAACTGAAAAACCCAGCACATCCATCCTTGGAAATAAGGTGCACTCCAAAATGAGATGTGTTCTGCTGTGCTCCTGCTATTTGCAGCACCAATTAGCCCACAGATAAAGCACATTCTACCAGAAGTCACTGGTGCTCTCAGCTGTGCAGAGGAGTCTTTCAGAAATACTCACTCCCAAAGCAGCAGGGTCATTCTTTTGAGCTTGCAGTTCCAGAAACCTGATTTGCAACTACCAAAAATTTCCTCAGGGCTCAAGTTCACCCAGAAAGATTATATAAAGCACTTTTAACAAGAGACTGTTCTGAAGGGAGAGGCTTATTCTGCCACTCTATTCTGATCTGAATTGAATAAAAACATTTTAATTCATTTCTTTCTGAGTCTGGTCTGTATTAACCAGACTGAGCTGACCTGCGCACATCCACTGAAAAGCTTTTTTTTTTTTTTTTTGAGACAATTATTCCTACTGGCATAACGTATAACTGAGAAGGAAATCAAAGTTTGTAAAGAACAAGGGCTAAAAAGCAGCTTTATTTGTGAAAATGTTTACTTTACTGGAATTAAAAGAAATGGATGCCTATGCTCTTTTAAGGCATTTTGTGGTTTTAACCTCAAAACATTCTAATGATAAAATTTATAAGATAACTCATGATGCTGGGAGAAAAAACAATGATTGGAAGAGGATCCTGAAATAGGAGAGAGACAGCATGCACGCAGCTACAAATTAATTCCCCTGCTTTAATCAATTCTGTAGTCTCTGCTAGATTCTGGATCTTCTTTTGTACACTGAACTTGAGAAAAAGCATCACATAATTAGAGAGATTCACAATAAATGCAACAAGTTTCATAAAAGGTGTACAAAAGATGAATTGTAAGTAATGATTCAAACCCCCTAAATGTATGTATTTTAAAAAAGCAAATTGAAGGAAAAGCAGTAGAAAGGCTGGCAGAGAAGAGAAAGAAGTAATTTATTCTCCAGAACCTTATTAGAATTACCAGTAATGGGCAGTTAGCAAGAAACCAGGCCAAGAAAAACACTTTAATGAACAGCTTAACTATACAAAGCAACATGCTGGGGCATCTTTTTCAGTCTTCAGTGAAAGATGAGGCAAAAATCTCCCATGAAGTACAAATGCATCCTCATCTATTTTTCTGTCGGGTTATGGACTGGATGAGATTCCCTTCCAGTCCATGAAATGCAGTGTTGTAGAAGACACACATTAGGATATTTTTTCTCCCCCAAAAGTCTCAAAACATTCTACAGTACCTAAGGTACTTGGAGTTAAATGTAATTCTGCTCTCCTAAACAAGAAAACACCATTCATTACCACAAAATAGTAATCAATGAAAACCAGATTGATAATTGAAGACGTAATGAGTCTATGAAGTAAGAAAAATTGCATAGCTAATCTATAATCTCACTATGTATTTCCATAGCTCTGTTACAGGATATAGCAGACAGGTAATTGCAAGCAGACAGGAAGAAACATTTAAAATTTATAAGAAGGTTTCATATCCTGACCACAGTGCTGCATGTGATCTCCTAGTGACAATTACATCTGGCAGACAGACAAGCAACTGCTGCTCGGTGGAAAATGGGATTATCTTTATTAGCAGGCTCCTAAAAACTAGAATATCCATTTACCCCCCTGCTTCAAAAAAGAGATTAAGAGTAATCTAATCTGCAATGTTGATCACAGTACTCTCATTTAAAATTACACTAGAAAGATCCAATGCTCTAGAAAATCCTGAGGCTGAAAGAAAACACTTTCTCTGCCATGAACACCTTCCAATACCTTCCCTCAAGTAGGATTTACTGGACTTCGTGGCTTATGGAACACAGCTAATTTGAACATCTATAGAAAATTCAACATCAGTAATTTAGATGTGGGGTTCTTTCATGCTGATGTGTATTTGTACAATGCACAGGAAGCTTAATGGTTTAAAGCTATTGACAAAAAGAAAAGAGGTTTTAGAACTATAGAGGTGAAGAAAGGTGCAAAGTAATTTTTGAGTGCACCCTCATCTTACATTGCCAATGGAAATATGTTTATAGATTACAAAAGCAACAATACCTGCAGTTTATTCTTCAGACCTGCCCCTGAACTCTCTGCCCAATATCTTAAGAAATGGAACAGAAAATTGCACTGCAGTTGTTGGGCAATACAATTAGAACAGATAAATCTGCACAATCATTGATCCAGTGTTGTTACAAACACCAACAAGCAAAACATGCCTCTGGTATTCCAACTAAACAACAAAATGTAGTAATCTCTCAGCTCACCTACTAATTTACAGAAAAAATGGGGAGGGAGAAGTGCATGTAAAGAAAGGAGGGAAAGAGGGGCAGAGACAATGATTTATCAGGAGGATAATTAAGATTTTTAAGATTAAAAATATTTGATTCCAAGAACCTCAAGCTTCCTGGGGACGATAATGAGGGCATGCAAAGAACAAGTATTAGGCCCTTTAATCCTAAAAGCTAAAGACAACAGAAAAGTGCATTTTCACTTCTAAATAAATTCACGTAAATGGACTTATTTCAGTATTATGACATGTGTCATTCAACAAAAGCTCCTTAACAAAGCAGTTTAGAGGGCAAGTGAGTGTTATACTTACTGGTAATGAACCCATGATGGACCAAGGGTTTTCTTAAACTGAGTCAGTCCCACAATATCAATATAAATGAGTTCTACAATTTTATCCCCCTGGGTCGGGCAGCCAGATCTGTTACCTACAACTTTCTTCATAATCCTGAACAGAGAAAGAAGCAACATGAAAAAGCATTACTTTCCAAATACCTTGAATTGATGCTGTAATACTACTTATTCCAATAATTCCTCTTTCTAAAAAGGTTTTACTCTTTTACTGTTTTGAAAACATGAACCATGTAAGAACACTGAAATGCTAGAGATGCTCAACATTTATTTTCACTAAATGCTCAACTAATTTTCACTAAAAATCTTGTCTAGTTTAAGCAAAAGAATGATATATTTGAAATGCTTAAAAATAGCGTACTTTGCAGTTATTCAAAATAATTTCTGCCTTCTATTGACAGCTTTATAGTATAAGAACTCTCTATAAAACAATGCTGTCATGTAATTTAAAAAAGAAAGCTGCAGAAAAAGCACATGTGCTCAAGCTTCAAACAGATGTTTTATGTTGGCAAAGCAAGACAAGGAAGAGTAAGGAGCAATTTGACCTAACACAAGCAATTAACTACATCAAAAGTAACATGTTTAAAGAACTTAAACCTTTATCTTAGAATAAGATACTGAGTGAAGAACAGCAGAAACTGAAGCAGAGGACACAGAATTAGGCTAGTCTGTAACATTTCCCATTGCAGCTGGTTAAAGCACCTGGAATGTTAAAGACTAAGCTGCTTAGCTAGAATTTTACAACATTCATTTATGAAGTCCCAGGAGCCTGAAGCAATAATGAAAACACATTATCCTTTCCATGGCACATATACTTAGCTCATGAAAATAATCTTATCCTCTGTTTAGTGAATTATCACTTTCATTTTATGCTTCAAGAAATTATATACTGTTAATAGAAGCTTCAAGAGTTTACAATTCTTTTCCTCTAATTCTAGTTTCAAAAGTGAAAGTAATCTCCTTACTCCTTGAGCTCTGCCAGTGAAGCTGAAATCCTGATGTCATGGCCCAGTAAGTAGAGAGATGTAATTAAATCACTCCACTGGACTAATTCACCAAGAGGGCCACCACTAAACGCATTTTCTGCAATCTTGAATCCTGATTCTTTTGTCAAAAGCCCCAGATGAACAAGGATCTGGAAAGGAAAGTCATACATTTGAGTTATCAACATTAAACATGCAACTGTTATACATTACAGCAGTTTTTCTTTCTATTAAATTCCAACTATGGCCAAGGAAAAAAAAAAAATCAAAGCAAACAAGCCAATACTTCCACCCAAATAAATTCATTTTGTAATGAATGCAAGGACTGAGAACCTCCAGCAAAGAGCTGAGCCAGGCAGGCTTAAGAGAAGGTAGAAATATGGATATACACAGGGCTGCTGTCACTCAGAACTGGCTCCAGAGATAACAAGGCAAAAAAGCAAACCTGTATGGTGTTTGCAACTTTTGGCTTTATCTTAACCAGTTAAGGTAATTAAAAAAAATTAAAATTCTATCAAATGAACTACACCTTTTCACTTTAAGTATCTCATGGCTTTAAAATTGGACTGATTACAAGAGGTCTAAACTGATCCAATCCAAAGTTTTGGTCAACTTTAAGTCTACTCAAATCCAAACCCAAGATACACCATTTAGAGTCTCAATTTTGGACAACAAAGATGTACAGTTGTTGTTTCCCATGACTACATAAAACACTCCAGTATCATCAGCTTGCAGTAAATTCACAGATTCTCCCTTTAGAATATACTCTGTATTTAGTCTACACAGTCTCTATTTTATCCAAAACTGTAGAAGTCAGAAAACTTACTCCAAGAGTGACTCATGCAAAACACGTAAAACTATCTGTAAAGCAAACACCCATTGCAACAGAATTTCAAACAGCAAAATACTTCTTGAAAAGAGTATAAACATGAGCCTTTTATATTTTCTTTTCCCACTCTGAAGCTACACCTGGAACAAGAAGCTTGAAAGAACCCAGGTAACAGCAAGTGACATGAATAAAGGTGTTCTCATTTACCTTTTTTCGTTTTCTTTTCTCCAAATTTTGTTTTTCTGCAAGTGATTTAATGGCCTCAATCCAGGTATCAGCCATTCGTCTGATGCGCAACATCATCCACCTGAATTCCTCGTGTCTTGACATCATTTTGTACAGATTATCAAAGTTGATACGGATTTCAGCCTTCAAGCAAAACATTAAGAAACACCCCAAACATTAGTTATTCTTCAGCATACTTTCCAGAAGTTATAAAACTGTTCAAATGTGAGCTCTTTATATTCCTCTTTGAAAAAAAAGGAATAGAAATAAAAAAAAAGTTACACTCCCAGCACGTTAAAATTTTAGTTCAAGTGTTAAACATATACTTAAACAGACATTTCTAAGCTACATAAATTACTGTTATTTTTATTAGTAGTACTTGGTAGCCCAGAATAAGTTTGCAATGTTTCACAATACATTTATTTCTGTAATATAAGACCTGGTATTGCTTGTGTGCTTCAAAATGAGGTATAGGTATGTTTAAATCATAATACAGAATAGTGGGCTCAAGATTTATGTGTATCATGAATCTTCCAAACACAAGGAAGTCTCCAATTACAACAGAAAGGAGGAAACATTACTAGGGTATAAATTTTAAAGGAAATACTTGTTTTAAAGATAGACTATTCTAAGATAAATTAGTTTTAAAAAATGAGGCAGCCTATACCTCTATTATGTAATAAGTATTCATATGCAGCCCAGTAATTATCTTAAATTATCTTAAAATACCTAATTACTACATAATTAGGCTGTAACAATTTAGAAACAACTCCGTGTGTTTATAGTATTTAATGGGAAAAAACTGGGAGTAATCAAAATATTGCTACAAACCTGAAATGGATATAAGCCTATCCCATTAATGCAGCTTTGTAAAAAAGATCCATATTTTTGGGACAATAAAAATGGACATTTTCACACATACTTAACACTGGTGAGAAGTTTGTGGATTTGTGATTTTTCTCAGTATCTGCGTAGAGTATTTCATAAACACAAAAATGTTTTTAATTAATATCTGCCAGCAAAAGCACAATACAATGACTGGATACATGAGCTACACACGTCAAGAAGGATTCCTTTCAGCTTTGAAGAATTGAGGAGTAAAAACTGTAAATAATATTTTTAGCATTTATGTGGCATAGGATATTTTGCATGAATCACAATTACTGAATTATTGCTCCTGTTTGCCCTTATAAGGACATGGTTGTTCTTACCACTGTTTTTTGATCAGTTTCTTCATAGGGATTTTTTGCTCTCCAAGGTAAACGAGGACACCAATTTTCAACCTATAAAACAATCACATAAAAATAAATAATGTTACTTTATTTTTAGCTGCTTGACCAAAGCCCTCACTCACTGCCTTTATATTACACCTTTATAGTTAACCTGATGACTTAAATAAGTAATCAGCTGATAATAAGGTGATAATTTCAAGATAAAACTGCTGTTTTTGCAGAAAAGGCTTAAGATTGCTTTCTGCAATTCAATGCTCTTTTAACCCAGCAAATTTGCCACCAGAAGTCACATTTAGATATTCATTCAAGATAATGAAAACAGAAGATCAAGGCAGAGGTCAACTGCTAAATGCTCAAAATACAATTTCTCTGAGCAGTTCTAAAATGTTTTCAATAAGATTTTTATGCTTCTATACCTTACAAAAATATGTATTTTGGAACATTTTCATCTCCCTAGAATATCTTTATAAAAAGACAATGCTTGCTAAATCAAAGGATCAAAGTTCTGCCTTGCAGCAATGCAGACCAAAAAGTAAGAATCATTATAGAATCAAAGCCACCATGTTTGAAGGCTGTAAATAAGGTAATCATAACAGAAGTAACAATATTCACAAGCATCAACAGCTGTGATTCTCAGAGAAACACGATCAATGCAAATGAAATACTTCTATTATTGTCCACTAGAAAATAAAGAAGTACAACAGGGAGCAGTCAGTGAAGAAATAGCAAATGGATGCAAGTCACTGAGAGCTCCTGAGCTGCCCCCAGGAATCCTGCCTGTTGTGTAGAATCCTTATTATTTATATACCTTAAGAAATTAGACCACTTGCTCTGGGGAAGAAAGAATCTCAGTGTTGGAGGCAAACTCATGAAAACTGAAAGATGACTGCATTGTGAAAAGGGGGAAATGCAAAAATTTATCAGCTGGCTAAGACACCCCATCACTACTGATTAAGTTCACAACTCTCAGAGAATTGAAAGTCAGAGTTGGTTTTATGGTTTCTCCAATCACAGACCTGTCAAAACACAATTTTAGCTTAATCATGCTGCAGAAGGCTGGAGCATTACAGATTAAAGGCTTAAGATCACACCATATGATTGCCTAGAGAGCCAATCACATGAAAATAAATGAATAGCCATCCTCACCTCATTAAAAGGAAGAAATGTATCAATCTTGGGTTCCTCAGACAAATTATAAAAAAGCATTTGGAATGCTATGACTTAGCCTACTCAATGTGTTTAATATAACATTTGAAAGCAGTGACTTATCAACCTCCTTTGAAAATATCTGATTCTTCAGTGGTCTGCAACTCTGGAACCACACCAGAAAGTGCAATTATCAATCCTAACTTTTACAACTATAAAGTTGTGGCAGAAAAGAGTTGCAAGCTCCACATTATAAATCATGCACAGTCACAAACTCTCTGTTTTCCTTTGTTTTAATAGTACAAATTTTGCATTATTCCTAGCATTAGAACTGATCTAAATTAAGATAAGACATTTCAAGGACTACTGTATGTGCTCCTTTTCTGACTTTATGTATTTCACACTGCACCACAAGGCATCCTAAAGGAACTGCAGATTTTTCAGGGCTGCCAAGGACAGTTCTCTGCATGCCTCACTGCCTGAAAAACAAATACATTTCTTTTGTGCTTTTAGAAATATTCCCTCTAGTCTAAAATAAATTATAATAATTCTCATCACAAATAAACACTTAAGGAATAGATTCAAAGTAATATCAGTGTCTGCAGTTGGTCTGACTCTCTTATTGATATTATATTTTCCCTTATTGATCTTCAGCAATGATGGCAGAAAGGATTATGATATCATTAAAGTAAATCTAGATGAAAACTCCATCAGAAATATACTTCAACTTTGCAGCTGTTTAGGCAATACAACAAGCCCTAATTTTGAGCAAGGTGAAGGAAGGCAGTGATGTTCATTTGGATTCTGCTCTTTAATTTGTTCATTTGATCATTTAAGATCAAACACTAAAATTGCCCCTGAAGAAGGAACCAGGGCTCCTCTTGCCCATTTCCAGCACTGCCTTCCTCTCACTGAGCTACCATCAGTTCTTTCTCAAATTTACTCCCTCCATAGCAACCTACTGTTGTACTGTCATGTAGATGATTTAACAGGAAGGATGTGATACCAGACAGATCAGCAGGTAAAGATGACTTTTGGGAAGCAGCAAGTGCAGATTTGAAGACAGACCATTTTTTGGATGAGTGATATAAATGTTAAGCTATTATTCAGAACACACTATATTTATCTTTGTACTGTCATATTTTTGACTAAGACCAGCTGTGCCTCCTGTTCCTGGTGCTGAATTCAATGCAAATCAAGGGCATTAGATAATCTTTGATCTTGCTCAGGAAACCGTGTCTACCTGAGAAGTCAAGTGTTCCCTGCTTGGTTTGGAATCCCATTAGTCACAGCACTGCCTGGAGTGTAAGTAGCCATCTCCTTAAGGTTAAGTTGCACGCAGTTAAAAGTTCAAAATTTAAGTGCTACATCATTTCCGATACTAGAGAAAAGATGGTATTCTGAACTGCTCTGAGGTGTTAGGCTAGGTTTAGGATGAAAAAAAAACCCCAAACAAACCTAATAAACTTGAAGAGTATTTGCTTTATAGAAGCTTTGCAGGTGTCTGTTCCAGTGACTCTTCCTCACACACACTGAAAGTGAATGCAAGGCAAGATTGCAGCACTCGACTCTATTACAGAGCAAATACTTCAAGGAGAGTTTTAAGAACGTGACAAACATCTGTAGCACTGGAGTAGTCTGAGCATCTTCAAAATTGAATCAAAGTATACTCTGCCTGCAGCTCTCCACATCCAAAATTTCAGAAAGACCTTTATGCTTTCAAAGAGTCACAGTGGGAGTTGAATAAAGCTGGAGCTGAAGGCT